AATCAGTTTTGAGTTCCCTTCTATTTTGGAGGTTTTTCCTTTAATTGGTGCATTACAGTATCACTTTGTTCTATGGATTCAGGGCAAGGTATGTTCAATGAAGACACAGTCCTTTTAGATTCAAGGTCATGATATTACTTTCAAAATACACAACCAAGAGGAAATATGATCAGGTTATATATTTTTCAAAATTTTATCTATCAAAAACATGATCAAGAAAATAGATTTAACCTTCCTTATGAAAAGGAGTATTTTAATTAGAAGGTCTCCTAAAAATTAAGAACGCCCTAAATATAATAGGGGGATTATTTGACATAAATAAAACATGCGAATTTCAAAATTTAGGCTTATTAAACATGTTATCAAATCTCTTAGTGGGCAATTTTAAACTGAACCTATTAGTGTCTTCACATATGTTTAGTCTATGATTCACTTGAGTTGTATAAAAAATCACAAATTTACATTTCATAAACTCAAAAATACCAAATTTTAGTTTTTTAGAAATGTTAGGGAAAAAAATTAATTATAACTTGACAAAAGCATCCAAAAATAGTAGAAAAAAGTTAAGTCATTATAGGGATGTAAGATAATATTGGGTATAATTTTAAATAACTTTCAAAAGAATATCACTTTCTTATGATTTTTAGACTAAATGATAGATATAAATATCTTAAAAACGAAAAATAATGGTATGGATGTTAGGATGATAGCATCTTAATGAACACAAGTTAGATGAAAATAAAGTTTTCACCTGGTGACGCTTATCTAAGTGACTACAAATGACTTAATTGATTAAATGAAGTTTTGTAACAGCTGAAAGAATCATAATTTAATAATTATAACTCGTTAATTTATAAATTATAAATAAAGAGTAGTTTTGAAACTAAAAATCACAAGTCAAGGAGCTTCATTCTCAAGCCTACATAGCAAAATCAGTTACAACTACGGATAGAGACTACATGAATGCGAGGTCAAGTTTTCAGCTAATACAAAGTTTAAATGTTAAAACAATGAATGAATTTCTAAAAACATACATGAAGACTTTTCTTCAAGCAAGAGAGACTGATGTAGTCCCAAAAACTACTGTCAAATGAGGAATGAAAGGTTTTCGACCTCGGTGGAGGAACTAATAAGGTCTGTATTAAAAAGCTATAAAGTAATAGAATCTAGTGTAACAAAGTTTTATACTAACTCAAGTGAATCAGACTTAGGAAATGTGAAGATTATATTTTTCCTAAATTCAGCTTTAAATGGCCTACTAAGAAATTTGTTCATATGTTTATTGAGCCTAAATCTTATATTCACAAATTTTATTTATGTAAAATAATCCCCCTATTCTATTTAGGATGTTCCAATTTCCTAAGGGCTTTCTAACAAAATCCTCCTTTTTCATAGGAAGGTTCAATCTATTTTCTTCTCCCTATGTTCTAAGATCATAACAGATTTTCTCTTTTATAGGTTTGTTATAACTAATTTTCGGCCTATAAATAGAGCACCCCTTGGCCTATGAATAGGGAGGCCCTTCTAAACCCCAAGAGGACACCTTTTTATCAATTAATTTATAGTTCTCTTCATTTTTAGAGGTTCTCTCTATCTGCTGGTGGATTCTAATATCCTTGTTGGTTCTCCCCTTCTTTTCCACACAAATCTTATTACTTCCTCCACCTAGGTCAAAACCCTTCCATTCCTCATTTGATAATAATTTATGGGTTACATTAATCTCTATTACTTGAAATAGACTTGTGCTTGGGTACATATTGAGAAATATATATCTTTTTTTATATTTGGACTATATACTAGTTGAAAGCTTAACTTTGGATTTATGTAGTACTCTAAATTTGTAGTTGTAATTGATTGTATACATAAAATATACAATTTTGACTTATCATGTATTCAAGAAATATTGATAAGTCTTTATTGTCATGAGTTAATAATTAATTAATAATATATTTTTAGTGTTAACTTATGATAAATAAACTTATATTTATATTAAATTATGAAAATTAATTTCTAGTTAATTAATATAAATTTTTAATTCATTATATAATTTTATAATCTTATTTTTGAGATAAATGAAGAGAAATAAAAAGTTAAAACAAAGAGGAACCTGTCAACCAATCAAGACCTTAAGTGAATTAGAATCATAGTGAGTAGAGCTGTGAATAAGGGACTTGAGCAAGTAAGGACTAGTAGGGGACACATGTGCAGTATTCTTTTTCTATGGCATTAGTGGCCAACTGAATGTGAGGTAAGGAGTGGTCATACACATGTAAGAGAAGGGGCTCATTGAGGACAAAAATCTCATATTTTATGTCTATCTTAAAATACAAGAAATAATTGATGTGAGACTAAATCGTTGGTCACAATTCTCTAGAAAGTTTTTTATAATATTAATACCTAAAATACCCTTTATTCATGAGAAAAAGATACCCTTGTGATGTCACTTTATAAAACTATTTTCATGTTTATTTACTCTCTCTCATACAAGTAAGTAATTGATGATGGTTTGAATCTTAGTAAAGCTTAAACTCATATTTTTTATTTAATAAAATGATATATTTTTTATAGATTTCTAGTGAACAATTAAGTTATCAAAATTATCCAATCATTGATGAAAATCTTGTCAAATTGATTCACGGAGTATCATTATTAAAATTACCAAATGATTATGAATAAAAGGATCATGAGTCTATCAAGTAAATAATCTTGGATTAATCAACAAATAAGTTATCGTTAGCACATATTGTGACATTATGACATAGCAAAAGTTGATAAAGAAATGACTTAAATGAATTGTGATCAACTCTAATGTTGTAGCGGTCAAAGACACAACTTGAATCTTCAAGGAATGTGCTCCAGTAGTTATCACTTCACTTTGAATCCACATGTTGAGGAAGATAAGTCCCTTGAGTCCACAAGGGGGTGATTCTAAATCCATAAAGTTAGGAACAAGATTCTGCAAGTCCATAGGGATGCTGAAGTCCAATGGAATAAGAGAACTTCAAGAGAAGAAACTAATGAAATTGTATGGTAATATGCTTTTTGCACTATAGGGGGTGCCTTTAAATAGGCCATAGAGTTTTGATTTGGTTGTCAAGATTTGAATTTCAAATAAAATCTAAATTTGAAATCAAATTTTAGATGAAATTTGAATTTAAAATGAAAATTTAAATTTCAACTTTGAAATTCAAATTTAATTTTTAGATGAAAGTTGAAAAATCGTAAAAATAAATATATGGGGCTAATTTTGTAATTAGGTCAGCTAAGTAAAGTGGGCTTTAAGCTACATTAGTAATGAGCTTTAATATGCATCAATAGTAGGCTTTAGGCATCTTCAATAATGAGCTTCAGATTTTGGGCTACATCACATTACATTACTATTTCTGAGCCCAAAAAATTGACATTGTTGGAGCATAAATTGCTAAGCATCTTTAAAAAAAAAATTACATTTTTTACAAGATAGACTTGCAAAGAAGTTGGTGCATAATAAGCCAAGGGGAGCAATGAGAAGTCACTATGGTGAGAGGAGTGAGAGAAAGAGTAAGAATAGAGCAAAGGGGAGAAAAAATGAGATAACTTCAAAAACAACATCTTAACATTTTTCTTCTTTGGTATACTAACTTACGTTTACTATTCATGGATTTCTACGTGAACATAATTCAATATTGAAATTACATCAGTTGAATATATTATTTTAAATTCAAAGTTTTTTCAATTTGAAAGTTTTGAAATTTAATTGAGTCTCATAGAAAACAGTACTAGATGTCAGAAATTAAATTCTTCACATGCATATGATATAAATGATTTCATCTAAAATTAATATGACATTGAATCAAAATTCTAAGAGCATAATACATTAATTCTTGCAACTTGTTCCTTATGATTTTGTTATCATCAAAATGGGGGGACATTACTGTTGAATTAAACACATTATTTGATAATGATAAATATACATTCGATTTATTAAAAGATGAAAATAGTCTTTTGCTTGTCACTATAATTGATCTATGATTAAATATGCATTTATGTATGAGCATGAGTTTAACTGAAATATAAATTTAGAAATAAGTCAATATAATAATGACAAATATATAAATAGGAATTAAAGAGTATATTAGTGAACTATACTGTTGAATTCTGAAATATGTGAACTTTACTGCTTGAATAATTTTATTTACTGATGCTTAGAGAAACTAAAAATGGATTAACTTCAATGATAAATTAAGTGTCATGAAATATATCTGTAAATTCATTAACAAGCAGATGAACCATAGGCTTACAAGCTATTTTATCTTAAAATCTGAGAAATTACTTGAAAGGGGACTTGGACCGAGAATTATCGCGTCCATCTCAAACGAGACATTGCATTCGGGCGTGATGTGTCACCCAGCTGCCCTGCGGACGTTATGGAAAGTCGTGCTACGTAATCCCCCATGTTCCTGTTCAACTCTTTCCTTGGCCTGCTTAACGTAAGGAGTCGAACACCATCAGAGAATCTGAACGGAAAGGACGTGTCACGGAGACTATCTGAGCCACAGAGACGATGCACTCTTCCCACACAAATATACTGTGAACTATGCAAGCGCCCGTACAGGCGCGCCGTATTCACTCGGCGTAGCCCTGGCCTGGCCCTTCCTCCTCCCCGCGAATCATGGGAGTCACACCCCGTTTCTTTGAGAAAGGCTGGGAGGGAAGGGAGGGGAGGAGGGACGTGGGGTGGCAATGATACGCCATGACACGTCGCGTTCGGCTTCACGGTGAAGGCCATTTGAGTCACTGTGTCTCCGCGGTTCTGGTGATGAAGAGGAAGGAACGGAGGACTAGCATCCGTCATGTAATGTTTCGGTCAGTCGGCGCACAGGTGAACGTCATGGGTTCGTGAATGACTGCCCGGACACGAAGGGGTAAGGAATGGAGGGATGGAATGGACACGGTAAACAATGGACAGGGAAAAGGAGGTATGATCTGAGGTCGAAGTGTCCCCCGTTCTTCGCATTCGTTTAGTCTTGAAAGTGAGCTGTGGCGCCGACATTGAAGCGCTGCCAGGGGAGATAAGGTAGGACGCTAGGCTCCATCGCCGACTCGGTTGGCGAGGGAGAGCTACGTTGCACCGCCGCCGTTGATGCCAATCGAGCGCTAGGGCACCCCCAGGGCTGACGGTAGCCGTAGTTAGCGGGCAGGTATTGCTGCTGCGCCGAAGGAAGCGATGAAGACGACGGGGAAGAAGAAGTGAACGATGCCACGGTAGAAGAAGCCGCGCGCCTTTCTTCCTTCTTGTATCGGATGCCGCACGCGTTGCAGAGGGACTTCTCCAACATGCGCAAAGAGTAATCATTAGGCGAAACTGCACGACTCAGAGAGAGAGAGAGAGAGAGAGAGAGAGAGAGAGAGAGAGGAAGGTACCTTCGGACCACGGGGCCCATTTCTCCAGAGAGGAGTGGATGTGGTGTCACAGTTGGCACATCTTCGGGGGTGCAGCAACGGGTCTCCTCCGATCCGAGAACCAAAGGCAGATGGCGTCGCCTGCTTTGACGGCGAGGGAAGCAAGTCCAACCGCAAGGAGTAGTTTGACGGGACGAGGGAGGTCTTGGCCGACAGTTGGCGCGTAGAGGGCGTCCCGAGGGAAAGGGTGCAATCCACGGCCAAGGAAGGAGGAGGATTGGCGTCCTCTTCATTGATAGCGAAGAAGATGGAGAAGGGGCCGCCGCCACCCACGCCTTGGAAGAGACCACGAGGGCACGGCATCGCCGCCCCGGTTCCTTGGGCATCCGTTGAGCAGTTCCTCCTGTTGTTGCTGTTGCACTGCTGCATTGTGGTCTGGCCTCCGCTGTCTCTCTTCCCCCACCTCTATCTCTATCTGTGTATCTCTGGGTTTCTTAATGGAGGGCAGAGGGAGGAGCAGGAAGAGAGTATAATTGGGTGATGGAAGAAGAAGAGGCGGGGAGCAGTCCTTCCCCTTTGCGTGTTGGTGGTCTGAGCACTGTGCTGTATGAGAGCCAGGGGGGTGTTATAATGCACGTTTTCTAGCGCAGACTGACCTTTACTGTTTACTACTACCACCACCTGCACATAGACGCTCACTGAGATATATATATATATATATGGAGAGAGAGAGAGAGAGAGAGAGAGAGAGAACACAGTAGCCACTCCTTTCGAGTGCTTGTACAAAGTTGGTTTTGCAGAATCGAGACAAGTATTATCTAATGTACTGGCCGATGAGGTCGTGGCTTCTTATTCGCTCCCACAGTCCAATGTAGTTATCTACGTACATACTAAATTGCGGGAGGGAGAATAAGTTATACACGGGATTGCCCGACGATACACCTGGTGCGGTTACTGGTGAGCCATCGAAGATGGTCAATTTTCTATCGTGTGGACTGGCGGCACGAGTCTCGGAGCGAGAGAGAGAGATTACACCACAGTGGTGCACCAGTTGAAAGTTTAGAGTTGAACTCCCTCCGGGATGGACGAAGGCAGCAGGCCCTGTTGTCAGAGCCCACCAGTCTGATGATCGTTACCTCTCCCTACAGTGGACGCAGCAGATATATCTCACCACCTCGCTGTCCATATCCCACTGGATGACTCAGAGGGAGTCCAGACGAGGACATCTCCGAAGAAAGGACTTCAAATAAAACGTCGTGACGAGCTGATACGGTGATGGCGATGTACACAGCAGGTCTTCAACCTCGGTGCCACCGCAGAGCACTTCTTCGAATGACGGCGACGTGTAAACAGTCAAGATAGACAGACAGACAAACAGAGCTTAGAGAGAGAAATACGTTAAAGCATCGGGGAACTGGCCTGTGGAACAGGAGGAGGGTCGTCGGCTAGTCAAAAGGAGCCCCCGCCTGACCTACGATGGAACACTCCCATGGCGGGATCTCTCTACCCACCTATCATCTCTTTTTCACAGTCCCGTTCCTTCGATCACCAATCACGAGGAGCACGGAGGCAGAGGCCGAAGAAGACAGTTGTCCTCCTCTTCTATTTTTTTTTCTCATTCTTCCTACGTCGGACGCTGGTCGGCGCTTCGATCGGCAATGAAACGAGGGGGGTCGTGTCACAATCTAAAGGGGTCGGGCAACTCGAAAGCCGGTCATATTATTAACATCCCGGGTCTTTTGCCGCCTCCGTAGGATCTGAGCTGTGAAAGGTGGAAGGAGATAGGGAGGGAGAAAATGAGTCCGGACTCGGGGGAAGTGGAGAAACCGGTCAAGCAAAGTCGGTAAAAGACCAGAGGGCGTCCATCGAAGCCAGCAGCTTTATGGCTTCCCGATATCGGACGAGAGATAGATTGGGAGCAGACACAGTCTCCTCCAGAGAGACAGAGAGAGAGAGAGAGAGAGCTAGAAGACAGGAACTTAGAGCAAGAGTAAGAGAGGGCCTGAGCCTCGGGTTCTCCTCCATAGGGACTAGCGCGCGTGGCTCTCGTATTGTCACGTGATTATCGTCCTCGGTTAACTCATGCCTCGTTTGCCTCCCAGTATCTCTCATCCGTACGCAGGCAGAAGGAGGGGGAAGAGGGTTTGATGTCTCGGAAACGAAAGCAAAGACCAAAGGGGTGCTAGCCCAAGGTTGCGCTCTTCTCACCTTCCCTTCTCTTCTATATGCCAGTATTCACTGAAAAGCCGTCGTCCGTGACGTTTCTGAACCTTGCCACAGTCCGCTGACATATGTTTGACGTGTTAACTGCTTGGTTTAGTCTCAAGGCACCTTAGCAGCGTACATCCCCTCGTCACAGATGCCCAGAATCAGCAAACGGTAACACCGCGGCAGGGTGATCCGGATCTGCGGTAAAACTAATCGACCGCAGTCTTACTCTAAGCTTCTCCTTTGATTGGTCACCGATTATAACACAAAATAAGCCGATCACGCTTACTACCGACGAGTATTTAAATCCTAAATCCATGTGGGAGAGGTGGATTAATGTAAAACATGATACGGGAATTTTTCGCTTCCATCGGCTAGTAGACGCGTGTTGATCAGATCATCTTCTTTTCTTCTAATTAAAAACTAACTGGTAGCCAGTAGGGTGTCCTATTTTTCTCTACAAATTTTATGCTCATCCTCGTCACGGATTCACCATTGTGGATCTTTAGTAGACATCAAAAAAATTATCATATCTCAGGTGTAGACGCAACCTTGATCCAGCTAGCGTTACCCTAAGATGAAAAATTCATGGCCACATGACACTTGTTATCATTTCTTGCCTCGTGCATCAGCTCTAATGCATAATGACCATGTCACGTTTCATTCTCAATGATAACTTGGTCACGACAGCGCCATCTCTTTTATTAGTACTAACCGATATTTCAGTTCTTTGATAGACTAACGAGAGCATGAAACTAAAGTTTATGGGCCCTAGTCCAAATGATCAGCCCTCCTTTGACTAACCTAATCATCGAGTTACGACAAAAGGTTCTGGAATAGGTAGATGGAAACAATAATAATAAGAGGCCTCTTGATTTGTTCTCCTTCAATTCTTCTCCAGACAATATGGGAGTCGTTGTAAGAAATAAATTCTGCAAAAGATAATGAGGTGGGTATTAAAGTTCTACAATAAGTATGACAAAAGTATGAAAGAATAATTCACTGCACCATTTTGGATGGAAGCTTGAAAACACCATCCCATATTAGGATGAAAGCTTGGATATACAAACAAGACGAAAATCCAAGGTATTTTTTCTGATGGATAGAGCTTATCTAGCTAACCATTCCACGATTCGTAGAACCTATCCTTCAAACCTAATATTCCGCGATGCACAAAGATCAGAACTGGACCTGGAGAGCCTATGTAATACCTTTTATTATTCGTGCTCTGAAAGACTCTTTTTCTCTCGCTCGCTCGGTATATGCATGTAAACGAAAGCTTCAATGATCCTCTAAACCCATTTAGTGATGCCAAGCAGTAAATTCATGGGGTAAATTTATTGTTTGTTAAAAAACTACAACCATCGTGTAAGGACCACTTGTAAACTATTCCTCCGTTGATCATTCAGTATCATTGTTTTATTGTATTCTCATCAAAGATACATACGCATACAGTTTCACTTCAACGCATAATTATCTTAGTGCAGAAATTAGGGAACGACAGTAAGAAGATTTTTGTTTCTAAATGATTTTTCACATTCTGAGGTTTCCAAACACGCATATGCTGAACAAACTATCATTATTATTTTCCGATTTTACTTTGTGTAATATTCGTCAAATCATTTTCTTATATCTGTAGACAAAATCATAATTCTTAGAGTAAAATAGTATGAGAATCGGATGCCTTTACGCATGCCACATCCCTTCACTCAATGGCAGCATAGTAAAATGTTTCTTCCTTAGGAACTGTTCAAGGCGTTGGACTCGAGATCAAGTACACGCCACCACCCCGGAAGTCCATGTTGTCGTCTACTTTATTCTTAATGAGATGATCTTCCTTTATCCTTTTCTCTCTGGCTTCATGGAATTTTCGATAAAAACCCGAGTGGATCATTTCTACTAAGCTTTAATTATTTTTTAGTTGGGGTGTTGGCTGCCCCATAATTTTTCACACCAATGTCAACAAGATTTTCCATGGGAGTCTCATGCATCTTGTTTCCCCTATCGTGAGATTTAGCTGTGCATGGCCCATGATTTTCTAGTTATTCGGACGCTCGTCTTAGATGTGGATATTTACATCTTTGCCATCAACTATTGGCGTCGGATAATTACATTTGTTCGAGTTGGTGATCATAACTCGGTTAATTTATTCAATTCATGAGATTCTAAGAAGAGAGAGGAACCCGTAGCATGGGGAAGGGAGATGGTTATGATGCATGCGTTTCCCAGTCTCTAATCTCTATCGCCTAGACATTATGGGTCAAAAGAGCTGTCGTCTTTATAGATGGTCTTATTTTACTCGCACCACAGCAAGCAAGCGATGGCAGCGTATCACCGACGTCATGCGTTATAGACGAGTACGCCGATTTCTACACATGAGACAAGGGTGCATCACTGAAGGCGGTCAGCAAGAGGCTCAGCAGTTCGCTCGCCAAGCTCAGATCTTGCTTAAATGATGCCCCTGCTGCCTGAAATTGCCGGATAACACAGGGGCTTTCAGCAAGCTAGATATTTACAATGATTGAACGAGTTTCGACCAGTAGGATCAACTTGAGAGCACAGTATAGATCGCTAATGAGAGAGAAAGAGAGAGCACCTCTTTGGGAGGGAAAAAGGCGGTCAAGATGTTCGATTCCCATGCCGACGGCCGATGCCCATCGCAACGGTCGAGGAAGTGGTGAAGGATTGCAAGAAAAACCGAGAACGGGTGGAAAGAAGGTAAAGACGAGGTGGCAGAATGTTAAGAAAGGAGAGTAGAGAGCGTAAAAGCACGGGGCTTCGAACGAGCAGAAGAACGAAAGGACGGCGCGCAACCCACGACGGTTGCCCGAGGTTCTCCTCGTCCTAGTCTTAGTCAAAGGAGGAAAGAAAAGGGCTAACGAAAAACAGAACCCGGCTATGTACGCCTACTACCACAGCTGTCGTCGCACAAGAGTTGCTTGACTAGACCTACCCTGTCCTGCTCCTCTCTCCCTCTCTCTCATCTCTTCAGCCGTCTCTCTCGTCCTCTCTCTCAACGCGGTAGTTTCTCTGTAACTTTTCTTCTCCGTTCATCCCAAGCACCAAATATAATAATAGCCAAAGCAAACAGACGTACCTATCAACAACTCAGCGCCAGTTCCTTGCATGCTTAATGATGTGTCTCGCAGTTGAAATAGGTAGGCATCCTCTATATTTTGGCTGTAAATGGAACGACTTTTTCTCGATCGGATGGGCATACTATTTCAAGATGTGACGAGGACTTTCTCAATCGGAGCGGCAGCTGACCTGATGGACCGTTACATTCCATTGAATAGAGTGAGACAAACCTTAGAGACAGGCAGCGAATTACTTGAGCTTCACCGACCCTATGGAATCCACCGAGGCTCCAGATGAAGATTTCATCAAATGACATTGGTGACAGCGTGAAACGGTTCTTGTCATTGGGTTGCACCAAGCACAAGCGGAAAGGCACCACAGTGGAGTCAGAGTAAGACAAGATTTGGAATTCATAGCCGCCATTGCTCTCCATCTCCTCTTAAGTCTCATGAGAACCTATCTATGATTATTATGCATAAATTTTGCCGCAGAATGAGCACAACAGGTGGGTCAGCCTGTACGGAGTTACCGTCTTTGGTGGCAGAGGTTGACCCGCCGAGGGGGGGCCGCTACCAAGACCCTAAGCGTCAGTTGGCGTAAGTTGCTATTCGGCCCCTCCCCCTTCTTCCCTGAGCGTTGGAGTAGAAGAGGGGCCCCGCCGCGATTCGGCTCCGGAGAAGACGGACAAGGTGCTGTTCTTCCGCCAATTCTGTGACTTCTTGGGGAAACAATAACCTATTTTTGTACCATGGGAACATAAAGAGGTCTCCAGCAGAGGTTTTTCTAATGTTTTGCGAATATATGGTTATATCTCACAGTATCCTTACTCTGACTTCCCATTCTATGCACGAGTTTAGAAGGATGAAAATCTCAAAAGGAGAGAAAATCAGATTATTTTTGTTGATTAAACGGGTTGAAAAATAGAAAAATATAAATTAATATATATAGTCCAATGAAGTGATTTCCACTTAACCAAGCAAACATTTTAGATCGGTACTAAATGACGATGCGTTCTATGAGCATATATTTGACAAACTTCAGTGAGATCAATAATGGAAGATGGCACCTAGTTTCAAATCATTGATGAATACATTGGAAAGTTTTACATTTGTTAAACACGTTATCGTTGAATGCAAATCAATGTCTCATTTCTGCCATTTCACTGACTCAGATGCCTAAGGTTCAAGACAGAGGGCTTGCAGTGTAAAAGACGGCTGATAATCTTGTTACAAAAATTTATGTTGGGATGGAAATTTACAGCTAGTTGTACGTCTTTTCCTGGTCGAAACTTGCGCAGGGAGTCGTTGCTACTTTTCCCATCTTAAAAGAATTCGTCAATAAAATGATTGCTGTTGAAGGTTAGCCTTTAATCCTTGAATTAGCTTCCAAAGTGAAGTTATGTCCTTGAATCCGAACTAATTCTCATTAATTACCTAGTTGCATCATATCATCCCTACTTTCATTGGACTGCTATTCAAATAAGTGAGAGAAAACTACTCAAAAGTCTTGATTAAATTGGAAATCCAGTAGGAATCACTAATAGCCTAGCAATTGGCCCACACGAAGATACTTGCTATAAGTAAATACAGGTGCATTTTAACTAGTGGTTAAACTGTGATAAGTAGTGGTTTAACCTCATCCTCTACCTCCACCAATGTAACATTTTCAAGATCAGTAATCTTTTATCTTTTCCAACTTTCCTATATCTCTCGCTTTTACCCGAAAGCACATTAGAGTCACACAATTCGGCATGACAATTATTGGCACCACACGAATTTTTTTGGTGAGTAAGCATCTTGAATTTTTAATAAATTTGGAGAACCAATAATTTGGAGTAATTGACAAATAACACCATAAATAACACCTGCAAGATTTCAACTCAATATATATCGGGCTTGTTGGAGAATATTCATGAAGGGTCCTTGAACGAGTGATGTAGCATACATTTCATTGAACTTCTCAACATATTATAATGCCAAAAAGTGAGAAAACATTTCCATACTTAGGGATAGAGATATATACTCTATAGTTTGTAGGGCAAAAGAGTTTGTGAATGAAACCAAAATATTGACTCCTATCCAGAAGGCCATGATCGCAGAGAGAGTTTAGTAAAAGATGTTAAAATATAGTGGAATTCATGACAAATGACAATTCTGCATGAACGTAACTTTACAGCAATTCGAATAGGATTCAAACCAACAGTTGAGGAACATAAAAGACGTTTGGATACCCCTCTAATCCAATATTTTTTTTATATGATCTTAATCTAACCCTTATCTTACATCTGATATTGAGGAAGAACAATGCCAAAATAGACATTTTACTGTTCTCTTACCCCCTCTACAACATCATTCATGAAGGGTAAGCATTAGACTTGTGACAAGAAACACAGGTCCAGATGAGGCCTTGTAGAAATACGCAGGGTGCTCTGTGCAAGCTGAAGTGAGATGTTGTGCTCAAGGATGATCTTGGAAGTTATTGCAGTTCATAGAAATCATTTCAATAGTCACGTACTGAAGTTCGTGGATATTTTTTTGGAAATAGTAGGCTACGACTAAATGATCTCATTAACAAAGAATTGAAGAGAGAGTGGGTGTGGGAAGGGGGTGGGGTGGGGATTTAGTAACGGCCAATATAGCATGTAAAATATGGAATTATAATATATATGTAAACAAGTCACTCGTCTTTAATTAAAACAATGCGACACAAGCATTAATGCACGGGGAGTTAATCTGCTAGGACAACAAAAAAGGCGGAACATCGATGACAGGGTGATGAATCACACAATGTCCCCCCGCCAATATGCACCATCCCCTGCCATTTTTCTTCCTTCTTTGTGAGACCAGATAGACGGTGGAGGGAGGTGGAGGGGGGAGTAACCCCACAAGCCCCCGCCACCTCCCCATCCCATGAAAAAGCCACGGGGGCTCACAGGTCTTCTCCTCCGTGCTCTTCAGCTCCCCCTCCATGTCCCCCAGCAGACAGGTAGGTAGGTAGTTGGGTGATCAGTCAGTCCCCGGCCTGGCCTTCTTCCCGGTGTACTTCTGCCACACATAAGAGTTGGGGGTGGGGTCCGTTCAGAGACAGTCAGACTCCAATGTTAAAGGTAATTCAAGCAAAGGTATGCCCTGTCGGTGGGTAAGAAAGGCTGGAAGAGAGCAAGTATTCTTCCTGGGAAGTCAAGTCGCTGATTGGGAAAACTTCAACAAGAATTCGACCTGGTTTCCTGCCGCAAATGAGTCCAGCCCAGTTCCCAGTGAGCCACTTGAGTCCATCCTTTAGGCCCATTGATCAAAGAACCTACAGCTGTTGGATCCCCATCCTAACAGAGAAGAACGGACATGCCTGGGAACTTTGGGGAGTAACCAATTATCTGCTACAAGTGCAACCTGACTCATATCCGAACCGGAAAAAAGGAACCGGAAACCCTGGGGTTTTAGGTTGCTATTCGCAGCATATTTTTGGCTTGGACAGGGACGGTCTCTCACAGGGAAGGTGACAACCAAGCAGAAGATAGAAGAAAACCAACGGATTAAGGTGATAAGATCTTACTTGCTTTCCCACGTTGAATGGGATGTACTTGTACTTGATCATGTGAAGAATCTGGCGCTTCATTGTCAGGAAAAAAAGAACCATCCAATAACACAGTAGAATGGGCCAGAACACGGGAACATCAAATGCGGAGAAGAAAGTCATGACGAAAGCCACTAAAAAGGCTTTTGTTATAGCATACCTGCAACCAAAAAGAAGAAAACAGAGATAAAGTGGGCATGCGCAGAGAGTAAACAGCATCCTCAATCTGATTGATCAAGGATGCTTTTTATTCACAAAATAGAGAAGAAACCCAACGAGAAAGGTAGACTCTGCTAAGATAAGTGTACCAAAAAAAAACATTTGAAGTATCCATCTAGCGTTTTTAAAAACGACGCAAGAAGATTTTATTCTCGCATGTTTATAATAGGACACAATCATATCACATATACATGCAATCAACACAGAAAAGCTTAGACTGATGGAATGCCACCTCAAAATATCAATTTGATTTCTAGTTCTTTGGGGTCTTGAGATGACATCTATTCCTGGGATCATCTCATGATAAATGGGCAACTCTCAAACGTGCATTACTGAATGTATAGAATCATAAGACATCAAAGCCTCCCAATGAATCGGCCTTATGGACCCGAAAAAGAGCATATGGGGTTCATAAGTGCATCCAATATGGTTCATGCTGTCGACAAAAGTTAAAAAGAGAGATGCAGCTTCCAATTTTGATGCATGATACAGTGGGGTTTATCATGTGATGCGACAACTGATAACAATCATAACATTGTAGATGCAGTATATCCAAAGCTTTCACATGCGGTGAAAGTGCTATAGCTTTCACGTCAGTATAGTTTTATAAATTCTTGGATGCAAGGGTAACCTCAGCACGTGAAGTATTAATCACAAGAGTGTAGGAAACCTGCAACTAAAATCTCCCAAATGTTTGTCAAGTTGACAACGAACTCATTCATGTTTATCATTAACGCCATTTTATTATTAGAATATTAAAAATGTCTCATTCACCTTTAAAATCATAGACATTGACGTATTGATTACCTGTCAAACCCAAGATCCGCTATACAATGCTAGATATCTAATAGTAAGCCGTTAAATTTTTTGGCATTACTACATTTACGTAGTAAGATTTTTCAAGGGTTTATAGACTATTCTTCCATTTCCAGTTTTCACCTCCAGCCAATACAGTAGCCAGGTTGAGTTGAAGGCTGAATATAATAAAATAGTCTCCTAATAAATGAATTACTTATAACCTTGTGTTTCTTAATTTTTTATATGCTTTTTATGACATGGAAGCCATTTGAGGTCGCAAGAAAATTATAGCCAACATTAATGAAAATCGGACAAATGACAGATCAACAAAACTCTCAATATTCGCTTGAATATGAACACTCATAAGAGATATATTGCGTCTGAAGGTAACCTAAAGAGTACTTTCCAAAGCTTAAAATAAATCATCAAACCGAAACATACACATATTGACCCTTTGGAAATAGATCACCGATACTGAGTGTGTAATACCGATGCAAGGTAGACATGGAATTGAAACATACTAAGCAATTAATAAGAAAAATGCATCTAAACATATCTACTCATGCATACGAAAAATAAATTAATTTAATTGGGTCGAATTGAAACATACAAAACAATGAATAAGAGAAATGCATCTAAACACATCAGCTCATGCATACAAATAATAAATCAATTTAAAACTCCAGAAGATGTTATCTCCTGGAATTGAGCCGAATATTGCAGTGAACGTCAGTTGTTATCTCCTAAGAAACTCCAGAAGATGTGCTTGCACATAATCCAATATGTTTTGGTTTACTTGATGTCCAACAAGTCCATTTAAAACCCGAAAAATGAGAGTTGATGCATTTCTCATTAGAACTTGACATAGGCATGTGATGGCATGGTTATGTAGAGATTCATAAGGATTACTATTACTAATATCCTGATTCTGAAGTACAAATAATCTAAACTCCGTTCATCTTATACAATTAACTGCAGAGTTTTTGGAAGTGATGCTATTTATAAATAGTGAAATAAACCACAACTGGAGTTATTTCAGGCAAAGAATTTTTAATGAGGAATGGAAAGCACAAAGGTGAAGCAAGGAATTTAAGTTCATTAGAGTAATATAATTCAACAGTCAAGCAAATTCAAGGAAAAAAACCTCAGGGAAAGATAACGGCCATCAATTGAAAAGGTTTACCGAGCATCTCCAACAGAAAATATACAGCTTCTTATATACTATGGGATTCTCTGCCGAACATTTTGCACTATATGAGAAGCATGAAAAATGTAACATCTGCTACAAAAACATCAGGTACATAATAAAGTCAACTGCTAAAACGGAGAGGGAAAAAGGCTGCCTTCAATATCCCTCTTTGGAAGCATTTTTCTTTCCAAGTTGTCATGTTAACCCTCATACCATTGACATTCTATTCATGCTGATATAGAATTAGAATGTCATTCATTTGAGGAGTAGAATAGGGAGGAATTGTTCTTTCTTCACAGAAAATTTCTAAAATGGAATTTGATCGCATAAATGTGCTAGTCGATAATCAAACTAAGCAAACAGTGTCATCGTTCCATCAAGCCCTAAAAGAGGATAAAACATCCAACTGTGTATACCTATTTACACATGACAGATGGAAAAGATTCTTCTCAACTACTCTGACACCAAAGGGCATGAAAGAATCGTGTCGAAAACATTTTGATTTTCAATAATCTTTACGAAAAGTTCAAATGTACTATCATCAGATAGCGAATTTATGTTCCAGATTTGCAATAATTTTTCAACTAAAATATATTTCATACCGTTTTCCTAATCGTCTCAAATAAACTGAGCACCCGAGAACTACTTCTTCGTCAGAAAAATGACGATCCACGATTTTCATTCTGAAGACAAACCCTTGCAATACACAGAGGATATGGCTTCCAGATAGAGAAAGAGTTGAAAACAACTGAAAAAATATAATGCAGGTTAAAAAAGATTGATGATAAAAATGAGGAAACGAGGCCATCGGTACGCAAGACGTTCAGAAAGGGCTGGCCAAACGCATAAAGAGATAGCGGATCGTGCCATTTGAAGGATTACCAGAACTTGAACTCGGGGAGCCTGCGCATGAAGGGTTTGAATTCGTCGGAACCGCGGGTAGGTAACGAAGGCCCGTCTCCAAGTACTTCCATCTCGGGATCCACCATTGGGGAGAGAAACCCGATTAGCAGGTTGATAAGGTAGATCCCGAGACCGTAGGTAACGATGTAGAAGCCCTGTAGCAGGTAGACCCTTAGCGTATAGACCATGGCGATGGCGAGTGTCCCCAACCACCTTCCAGGGGTGTGCGGCGTCGAGCGGTCAAGGTAGTACTGAAACACCCTCGAGACGTCACTCCCCCACTTGGCCAGAGCTGTGGGCGCTGCCCCATCCCCATTTCCAGATGAACCCGCCTCCATATGTGGATCTGGCCGAGAGGACAGAAGCTGGCGATGGATCTGGAGGGGAGTCAGCGCCCGGCGGAGAGGGCAGGCGAGGAAAGGAAACCCTAAGAAATCGCCGCAGCAGGTCGAGAAGAAAGAGCTATACCGTCTACTGGTTTCTTTGAGGACAAAGAAGAGGACTGATCGGTCAATTTTAATGTTCTTCACCGTCGAAACGAAAGCAGGAATTAAATGCCTCCAATATATAACTATTTACACTAACCACCATGAAGATAAGTAGGAAAATCTCCATTCCCGAAGGAAATTATCAATAGACCCAGAGGCAGCCGGCGAGAGAGGACATTTTGAGTGAGTGACTGGACGATGGATCCTCCAGTGAAAAATATGGGTCGGTGAGCTCACTCGCGCGTAGCGTCTGAGAGGAATGGGATTCTGGGAATAACGATGGGTATTTATGTCATTCATGGTAGTCTTCCGATCACCGGCGGGACAACCTCCTCAACTAGGGGGCTGCAGGCGTTGCCGCTAGTGGCCGGTTCAATCGCTGGCGGACGGGGCCGATCTTCCTCCGACGCCATTTCTCCTTTTCTCTCTCGCGGTGTGGATCGTAACGCCGGCGATGGGGACCCTGGGGAAGGCAATCTACACGGTGGGGTTTTGGATCCGGGAGACGGGACAGGCGCTGGACCGCCTCGGATGCCGCCTCCAGGGCAACTACTACTTCCAGGAACAGCGTAAGGAGCAATGGGTCTGCCATTCCGTTTTTTCCCCATTTCAGCCTCTCGGGATCCCTCTTGGATCGATATGTTGAATGCGACCTTCCCCCCATCTTTCTGACTGCAACGAGCTGCCTATCTCTCACTTTATCATTATTTAGGGTGTAAACTGGAAGGCATGGGTGGGTCGTTGCATATCTGGGCGTAAACTGGGATTCGAAAGTTGCAGTCTATTCTTACTGATTGCCTCAAATTTCTTAAAGGTCGTCCATACTTATGTATTATTCACTTAGTAAAACTCTGAGGTTCCCAGATTTTTGTTTTGAGAAATTGGGACTTCATGGGCGATGTGATTCTTTTCTTTGTAGTGATCAATTCATTTTCCTGTCTAGAACCAGAAAGGAGGAAACATAAATTTTTAGTATGTTGATTAACCACTCTTTTGTTTGGTGTTTGCCCTGCTGTGATAGACGGTGTGGAACAAGTAACCCTTAAATCTCATTATCATCGTTATATGGAGGCTCTCGTCGTTGATGAATTATCCTTTCATTTTTCTCATAATGTTTTGTTAAACTGTTTGCCGAATGCTAGCATCATATCCTTCTCCTGATACACTAGGCTTATTGCTATCTGATTCTTGAACCTTTAGCAAATATTTTGGGGTCTTAATGTCATGTCTGAATGCTACCTAACTTATCCGCTTATGAAATGAAATTTGTGTGTTGAACCAAATTTTTTAATTGGATCGAACTAAATTATCAGGAGACGATCTAATGTGCCCATACTTGTGTTGTTGAGATTGATTGTTTGTTGAATATTGGTGTGAAGACTAAAAGGCAGACGCTGGTTTATTTGCACAAAGAAGCATGCTGCTTTTTTCTCTGAGAATTCGTTCCCACGTCCGCAAGAAGGTTGGATAGGATTTCAGTCCTACATTTGTGTTAGACTGGATACACCAAATTATCTATTTTATTGATTGTTGCAATATCTATTGGTTTCAAAAATGATTTTCTAAGTAGATCTGACGCAAAATTTAGTTGATTGGATATCATGCAATGAAGTGAATGTGCCGCTTCAAAATTAGTAAGGATTCATGTTCTTTTCATCTTTCTTGTGATAGGAGTTATCTTGCAATAGGCATCACTTAATTTCCTAGATGTCTGGTAGGTTTTTTTAATTATCAGTTGATGCGTTTCTTGTACTTTTCTTTATTTACAAGTTCTTCTTTTTGTCATTCTTTCTTGCTATTGATTTGATCATTTCATGTTTCTGGCACTGAATCACACATTACGTTCATTCAGTATTTCACGTGGGGAAGTTGGAGCATAGACGGATGAGGCTTGTCCAAATACTACGTTGTCTGATATTTAATTTTTCTTGCCATGGATTTGTGGTGCTATCTGGCACATTATCGCTCATGGAATCAAATATGATTGGGTTTACTCTGCAAATGGGAATGAATTATTGTTATATCCTTAAATAAAGGTTTAATCACAAGTGCAGTTACATATTTAGATTGTGCTAGTTTGAGCACCCTCCTTCCCCTGGAGGTACCATCCCTCTCAGGCTACATACTCGTCCTTTGAGGCTGCAGTCCCCTTCACCCTACGCCCCACTCTCCCTGTCTAGCTGCCTCCTCCTTCATGTCCATTTTAAATTCTGGGATGATGTTATCAGTCAAGTTGCTGAACTTTTTTGTTTATATTTATCTTGAAACTTTAAGTTTGTAACTGATTCACGTCTGCTTTGCACCACATTTTCCAGATTAACATTGATATTTTTTTCACCTTTCAGTCTCTAGACATCGGACTCTCATGAATATTTTTGACAAGGTACCGAGTGTTGACAAGAGTGCATTTGTTGCCCCAAGTGCATCTATGATTGGTGATGTGCAAGTTGGGCGGGGATCGTCAATTTGGTATGGTTGTGTTTTGAGAGGTAAGTACTTTCTAGAGTTCTAGACTGTTTGTTGTTTTTGCATTAATTTTCGTATGAATTTCCATATTTTGATGATGCCACCCCATTTGCCAGATTTTTTTCTAATTTGTGATCCGGTAGTTTGAATATTTTTATTGTGGGAGTAATTTATTTATACAAATTTTTAACTCCTTTCTGGAATTTTTCAAAAAATCGATAAACATGATGTAAACAGTTCTTGACGTTGAATAAAATTTGTGATTGTAACTCCAAATAATAGATTCTTATCTGGAAATGTATAGAATGCTTCTCCTCTTGCTTTTCGTTGATAAATAATCTTTTATGTACTGTCATATTTCTTTTCTTTAGGTGTGACAATAGGTTTGTTAGTATGTATGAATTTTTTATCACAATTTTTATTTTTTTTACGAGATGTTAGATTGCTCGTGTTCTTTTTCATATCTGCAGTGGAATCTAAGTCGACTTTACTGATAAAATTTAGAATAAATTTAATGTTCTTAAAGGAAGTGTTAGTTTACAGATATTATTAGTGTGAACATTATTCACATGATTTTATTATTGTGGACGTATGTATGTCATTTTATGTGTGACATAATAATTGATTTTTCTTTCTATTATTTTTTTACATATTCAAACCAGACCTTATGCATCATCCAGGACCTCATTTTGGTTCCTAGGCCGTAAAGGTGCTGATTTTTGTCTTGGTCCTCTTAAACACATTGTTGTTCTTGCAGTACGCATTTAAATTTCATGAACGTGCTGCCATCTGTACTACATGGCCACCATTCTTCAGAAAAGAAATTCTAAACAATGCTACTTGCTGTCAAGAGCGGAGCACTCAAAACACATTGGATTCTCGCATTGTTATAGTCTGAAGATAACCACTTCATAGGACAGACATCATAAGAGAGAACATTACAAGATGCTGACATTTAGCGACTTCAAGTCATAATCTGATATGACTTTAGCATTCAAGTTTTTATGATATTTTTCATGAAATTAATAAAATCTTGTTCCATGGGGCATATTATTCTTTTGTGAAATGTAAAACCCGCCTTATCTACAGAAATTTTTCATTGTGTTTGACTTATTTCGAAAGATTTTATTAGAACAGAATAATATTCTCTTCTTTATAATTCTTGAATTAGGTAAATGGTTTTATTAAATTTAAAAACTGCAAGGGTCTTTGTAACTGATAATTTGTAGCAAATACCACTTCATCTTCTTTGTTCTTGGCTCATTCATTTGGCTTCTTGTCTTGGCCATAGCAGCAGCAGCAGAACACAGATATACGCCTTTAACTGAGGAATGTAGATGGTTTACCCAGCTAGGCTGGTCAAACAGGAACAAAATATGTAATTTCAAGTGATATCGATTGACTCCTTTTTTGTTGATTGAAGATGCGTTTTGGGAAGAAGGGATAGCATACCATTATATTTGGGTATTGGAGTGGCCATGCATGTGTACATGCTGTTTAATTTCTTTTGTAATGTGAGAGAAGCCTTCAGTGGGGACCCCAAGCTTGTTCAGAAGATCAGGGTTATGTTGAATGTAATAAGGAAACAATATGCTGATAGAAAAATGTATTATAAATGGTGATAAAAGATGGCTCCATATTCCACTCCACGAAGTTTGGCTAACTTGGTACTGTTTTGAGATTAGGGAAAGAACTGAATTGAACTAACGAGGGCAGGTTTTACTCCAATGTGAACCTGAACAGAACTCTATTAAAGATTATTTCCTTAAAAATTTCAACTATGCACCTTAATTTATTCTAATTTACTTTGGGATTGTAAATAGATTTAAATCATGAGTCGAATTGGGTCCCCATGTTGTGAAAATTTGTTTTCATTCACCGCAAGTGTATTTAATTCTATATGGAGCACAGTTCATTGGCAAAAGGATTGACGGTTTCATTTAGTAAATGTGATCCCTTTCTTCAAAAGCAAGGGTCAAGAGCATGTTTTGTGACGTGGAATAATGGAGAGACTAATTGATTACAATTAGTAAAGGGCATTATGTTTTCGCTGAAATCAACATGGATTCCTGCTGTGAACGTTCATGACATTAGTCATCTATTCTTTCGTTGGTGGAGGGAAATTCTAAGGTGAAAATAGTAATCTATATATGATTTCTATTCAGAAAGCATAAGGCTTAGTAGCTGGGTTCATACAGCTGAATGGATTGAAGAATAAGGCTGGTACATGCAAGCAGTAAAGACAACAAGTTCAAGAGTCAAGTGTGGATGGTCATCCTACTTGGTAATTGATTGTCATTACAGATTGAATTTGTCACGTGTCTGTATACACTGGTCATGATTGCGATGAGAGTTTTATAGGAATCCATATATCTGCCAAGTTATGAGAGTTATGAGAGTTTTACTGATGGTAAAATAAAAAGGGTAGATGACAAGTTAAGGTTGTAGAGAAGGCACTAGGGCAAAGGAATGATGATCAACCCAGACACAGTATTATGCTTAAATATGCATATAATAATTGATAATTTCTGGTTTGGAGATATGAAATATAATGGTGTAATGATGCCTTCCCTTGAGTGCTTCATTTCCTTGGGTTTGTGGGGATTTTAGCTTCCCATTTATTGTGGTAAGCATATTCTGACGACTGAAAGGTTACTATGAGGCTAGGGTTGGTGTAGCTGTGTCATGTGGACAAGATTTGGGCCGTAAAAGATGTTTATGCAAACAAAATGATGGTTATTATGATTAGAATATTGAGCGGGAGATTCATTCGAAATCTTTGATCACCTAGATTATTTACTGAACGGTTTGGGAGCATCATCTATCTGAAGAATCCGATGGTTTGGTACATCTGTGAACAGATTTCATGGAATGCTTTGTAGAATCCGATGAGATCTTATGTCATTCTGCGCAACCTGTCAAAGCTCTACCAGGCACAGTTGATGGCAGTTTTATATTTCATTTTTTTATTGGGACTGATTTCATGACCTAATTATGAGGTCTAATTGTAGGATATTTTCAGCCCCCTCCATTGTAACTGGAGTTACTATTCTAGTCCCTTCTTGTTTACGAGAAGCCTGTTTATCCCTCATGATGGGCAAGGAGTTTTCAGCCTGATACGATCCCCTTTGGTAGGATCGGATCTGAGTGAATCAGAAGAGAAACAATTGTATAGATCCTCAACTTGGGACAATGTTGTAGGTATAGAACGTCAGGATGACAGTTCTATTGAAGTACAAGAAAGGAAAGAGGGAAAGAAGATTAAAAGGGTGGGGAATGAATTCGAGAGGATTCCCCTGCCTGAACTGTTCTCCTCTTGATGTCCCCCCAAGGTGTATTTATAGCCCTCACACATGCTTTGCACGTGTCCCCCTCTTATGCCTTCTATATGTCAGTAGCGGGATCGTAACACAGCCATTCCTGGCTTTTCTTGTCTTATTATCTTTTATGTTGGCATGATGCCTACAGTTCGGTTCTGATCTCAATCCAGTTTTCTCTTAGGTTCTCTTGTCATAAGTCTCTTATTTGCAATCTTGTACTTCATTCTTCTTCATTACATCCGATCCTTCTCCCATTTTTTTAGTCATGATTTTCTGGCATGTGCTGAGTTTTCATCTGTCCCTATAGGTACACTCCCGTTATTAGTATTTGCTTCCTTAAAAAAGAAACCATTTTTTGTGGGTGTTTACTTAGAGTGGTTTATTACCAGTACTAGAATTGCTTGGTTTTGTGGACAGGGCTGAAAAATCCGAAGATAACCTGGAATCGGGGCTAAAGTTTTGGGATAAAAGTAATGCCCAAGTCGTTGGTTGGATTGTGAATTGGTTGAACCGCATGTTGGCATAAATCTGCCACTGTACAAGATATAATGTGTCCTGTATAATTTTTCAAGAAGGTTATATCTTCAGTATAACGAATCAGGGAAGGACAATTTGGAATGAATCCTTTTGCAGCGACCAAGTTAACGAATTTAATAGATCATCACCTTATTTCCAAGGTGACTAGACAAGGTGCTACGCATCTGCAGCCATCTCCCAATAGCTATCCTTGTACTGGATATTGACTACCGGACACTATGATGATAATCTTGCCAAAAATTGTAGATATACTACTTGAGACCTCAAAAATTGGTATCATAGGTACTTTACAAAGGATAGGCGTATTTGGACTGACTGAAGGTGACATCCAGTTAAGGCTTGTGAGCTATAAATTCAGTTCAGGCTTCTTCTACCGATTCTATTACTATCAGAAGTCAGTCTTCTACAGCTCCTATTCTTACTAAATCTATTGAAAAATAGTCAGGACTAGCAGTGGGATTATATTTTTTGCTAATATTTTAAAAGTTATTCAATAGGACTATCACCCAGTTGTTTGGTCACTCTCCTTTTCAAAATGGTATTACCAAATATAAACATCAACATATTGTTGGTGTTGCATGTGCTCTTTCTCCTGAGGCTTTTATTCTGCCAAACTTTTTATGTGAAAATGCTTGAAGTTATGTCATGGCCAAAATTGAATCCGCTACAATTTTGGCAAATTGAATCAGTGAAAGCCTATATTTTCGTATCTTTTAGAAACAATCAAATACCGATCTCTCTACATCTTATATGTTTTTTTTTGTCTATCCTTCCCCTAGAAAATCATAAACTTTTAGTTCTAGTAGCAAGGTATGGACTTCCTTATTGTAGTCTGCAAAAAAAAGATATTTTGTCTCCGTTAATGCCATCTTCTGAAATGAAAGCCCATTACGTATAAATAGATCTATAAAGTTAAGCCAACATTCGATGTTCTTTTGGTTGGTACATAGCTTGGCTGATTTTGATAAACGATCAAAAATATGGTGTTAATTATCATGACTCATATTCCAACAGATATGATCGCATCGCCTATGTAGTTTATTCAATCTTTCTCTCATTCTCTGCCCAATTTTTAAATAAACGTGAAAAATGCCTTTTAAAGGGTTGATTTAGATGAAGTATCCATGACACTACCTGATTTAAATCGTGTTGCAAAACAAATAGTATGTAGACGTAGGAGATCCTTGTATAGCCTCAAGTATGACCCAAGGACGGCTCAATAAACTGTGGACAACTGTGTTTGAAGTGTTGTTCCAACGGAGCATATATGATTGTTCTCTTTTTATGATATAAGCCTCTGATAACATTGCCATTTGCTTCTATATGCAGGTAATGTAATGTTACAGTAAGTATTTCTATTATTTTTGAGTGTATCAAAAATATCTTATAGAGAGTTTTTCAAATCAAACATCTCAAGCATCTCAATTTTTTTTTTATTGTGGGAGGACATAGAACTTCCAATGGAATTAAGCCTTCTCAAATAAATGATGCAAGATTTAATTACTTGAGAAATTTGGATAACCGCATTGTTGTTCTAACTCTAATAAAATTTAACTTGAAACTTCGTAGTGAAAATGGCAGTTTTCTTCATGATACAACCGGCCACTGAGATCTAGTTTGTAGCCTTATCTCGGTTTTCTACTTCTTTTTATTTTCTATGCCCATAATTTGGTCAGTCAATTTATGACTGCTCGTAAAATGCTTGGATCCTGCCGTTGTTGACTGTATGATATGTTCTACTGCTGTCCAACCTTGATATTATCTACTTGTAGTGATTCTGATCAGGGTGGTTGGTCAAAAAACTAGGAACCTTTGCCATCTGATTGATATTGAAGTTTATCAATCAAATCAATGCTATTCGATCCTCCAACATCAACCAAATCAACCTTGATATGTTTTGTGAGATTCTATGCATTCTGTTATTATTCTATCTATAACAATGGGTAGCTGCTTTTATGTCCTTTAGCTAGTCTAAATGTAGCATGTAGTCAGTCCCTTCTGCTGTGATTTTATTTAGCATTTGTTATCTCCCTACTGCCTTTAGGAAGCCTATCTATCCCATGAGATGGAAAGGGCATTTCTTTTCTCTTGTTGTGACATGTCTCAATGATGTCTTCTAGTTACAGAGCAAATTAAAATATGGACGATGTGATTGAAGTGTACAAATAAGTGATGAGATGTAGGTTAATCTTCGCATGATTAATTAGGTCTAGGCTGAAAAAAGCCTTGGTACTGAAAGATGATATTACCAATGCAAGAGAAATAGGAAGATTGGTGGTCTGTGTTCTAAGGGATTGATCTTATGTTGTATCTCCCTCTATCTTGCATCTCAGAACTAGAGGGTTTCTTTCATTGATTGATTCGTTTTCTATTTTAAAATATTATTTTCAACTTAAACATCTAATTTGCAGTTTGAATGATATTTATTTGACTAAATTTCTTGTGTGTAGGGTACATGGCTCTTCTTGTTGGCGTATCTTTTGGTTTTCTTGGCTGTTTCCCGGCTTAAGCTGTTGAACTTCACTTTTGTATAGTTTTGTTATTGACTTTTTGTACCGCATGCATCTTTTTTGTCTACCTAGTCAACCTCTCTTCTAGGCAATAGATGCTGTGTCTGATTTTGTCTTCTTCTCTTCATGGGGCTTCTCTTCTGTGGAACCAGCTTTTGATAGCATTGTGCAATCAGTGGGAGATTAATGTGAAGATTTTTGCCTAATGTTAATGAGTTGTTTAGACATTGGGGTTTTTCCATTCAAATCCTGTGCTGACTCCAACTTGAAGGCTTTGGGCCCTCATGTCAGTAACATTGACCTGGTGCCATGTTGCATCCTTTGTAGAGTTTGATCTCTGCTGTTAAGAAGAAGATTTTGATGGAAAATATGTCAGACAGAAGCTTATTGAAATGGTATTGGCATTTTATTTCTTATTTAAAAGCATAAAATAAGAAAACTTAGAAAGGACCTTTAATATAAATTTCATCATGTATGGTTCTAACCCCACAACCTAGACCAATCTGACCATCCTCACAGTGGAGGTGTCTGGCAGGGGAACCAGGAGCCTGGTGACAATGGTCAGTGGTGACCAATGAGGATAAACAGTGCACCCTTTTGCAGGGAAAAGATATGGTCACTGTATAGGAGCGTTTCCACACATTTTCCTGTTGAATGAAGAAAACCAATTTCCGTATAATTCTTTGTCTGCACATTACACAGGTTTAAACCTGATTTTACTTTTAGTTTATGAATTTCTTGGGCCATGATAAGGTGTTGTGGAGAAGTATTTAGCATGACGATTGAATGTGGCATTTAGCTTTTTTTTACAGCTCATCATTTCCTTTTATCTGACTGTTCTCATCGCAGTGGATTATTGTGATTTTTCTATCCTTCGTTGGAGATTTTTTTTTTCGTTTCTTTCCATTGCATCAGACTTGATGTTGCTGCTGTCCTCTTTGACCTACAAAAGCTTTCAAATTCCAGGTGATGTTAACAGCATCAGAGTCGGATCTGGGACTAACATACAAGACAATTCTCTCGTGCATGTGGCCAAGTCTAATTTAGCTGGGAAGGTCTTCCCAACAATAATTGGAGACAACGTTACAGTTGGTGAGTCACTCAGTTTTGGGTTCTGCGTCCCTTTTTGCCTGCATCAGTGGCACTTGCCATTTGATCTTGTGTATCAGAAGGTTATTTTCTTCTAAGAGACTGCCCCAGGGCCGCATTCAATCACATTTTTCCGTGGGGATTAAACTTCTCTTCCTTCACTATACTTTTTTGCCTACTTGATGTTATATCCTTCTTTCTAACTAGGTTCGGGTCGAGACGAGACCCTTGAGGATTTACTTTGTGGGAAGCGATTTTCTTTTAAATGCCTGGCTTTTGTAGGGCACAGTGCCGTCTTACATGGGTGCACTGTAGAGGACGAGGCGTTTGTTGGTATGGGTGCGACCCTGCTTGACGGAGTTGTGGTCGAGAAGAACGGAATGGTCGCCGCCGGAGCTCTTGTGAGACAGAACACGAGGATCCCTTCTGGGGAGGTCGTCCCTGAACACCGTCTCGTCTGCTTATAGCGTTCATCACAGTTTTTCGTAACTTTGCATGCAAAAGTCCTGTTAAAGTGGGCGGATTAGCATGCAAAAGAAAATAACGGTTGAGGCAAAAAAAAAAACGCAGGCCTATATTCGTTTGATTATTATCGCTGAAAGGCTTTCTTTGTCCAATGTGTATTGATCTCACACCCATTTCCATCTAGATTTTTCCACAAAGCCAGCTGCATACCCTCAACCAAACTTTTGGAGATCCTGTCCCCACTTTACTCATGAGCCCACCCACGAGTAAAAGTTTGAATATTATGAGGTTCTGCCAAGATTTTCTTCCAGCATATATGTTATGGTTGTTGTGGAATAAATCATTGGAGCTGTCGATTGCAGGTTTGGGGAGGGAATCCGGCAAGGTTCCTGCGGAAGCTCACCGAGGAAGAGATTGCCTTCATCTCCGAGTCGGCTGCGAACTACATGAATCTGGCCCAAGTCCACGCTGCAGAGAATACCAAGGCCTTTGACCAGATTGATCTGGAGAAGGCGCTCCGCAAGAAGTTCGCCCGCCGGGACGAGGAGTACGACTCAATGCTGGGGGTCGTCCGCGAGGTCCCCCCCGAGCTGATACTCCCCGACAGCGTTCTTCCTGGCAAATCCCCCAAGCTTGCTCACTGAGTCCTGTTCTTCCCATGGGAGAAGAAGGATGGGTGGTGTTTCAGGTCAGCACCTCCCGACTCCCCTTTGGAAGATCCAATGGAAAATAATCCCTGAAGATCGTCCCGTCGATCAGGCTACTTGCTTGCTCCTCTGTCAGCCGGCGGCTTCTTGTGAGGGGACTCCTACTGTGACTCTCGTTTTACTTTGTAGGAGTAGAGAACAGGGGAATTCTTGCTGTCTGCAGATGCAGTTACGGCCACATGGCCTTTGGGGGTGCCAGCTCTTGCGCATCTATCTGTACTTGGTATCGCAGGGCAATAAGAGAAACCCAGCACAGTACTTGGGAACGGCACATCAGTGGGTCCCCGGAGTGGTTCTTTGTCAATCATGATTTTTGTGTGGTTGGTGGCCATGCAAAGTTTGGATTTCAGTTTGATCGTGGGATCTTCTGTTTCCGGTTTCAGGACGAAATCTCCTCTCTCTCTCTCTTTCTCTCTCTCTCTCTCTCTTTCTCTCTCTCTCGCTACTCTTCTCGCTCTTTGAAATTGCGGCTCGATCTCCCTGTCTCTCCTTGCTCCTAGGTGGCCGGTTTTGTTTTGTTCTTGGTCAGCCCTTCGGACTCTGCGGGGGCAACCCCGTGGATTAGCATCCTTCCAGATTTTCATCGTCTCCCACCAACCCCTCTGCCCATATAACCCTGCCGGAGGCCAGCATATGCGCACGACAGAGAGATGGAGAGGATGGCGGTTGGCTTTTGGCGGATTCTCCGCGCAGATCTGTCTGTGACGGCGAGGGACCCGACAGCTCACGGGGGAGGAGGCGCAGAAGGAAGGTTCTTCTGCGGCAGCTCTTCCCGCGGACCGCCGTCAACGGTCGCCTCCGTCGTCTTCAACCCCTGCAGGCTCCAAATCCATCCATCTTGATCGATTCGCGCAGGACCCATCTCAGCTAGCCGGCGTCTGAACACAGCGAGAGAGAGAGAGAGCGAGAGATGAAGAGGGTGGGAGTGGCGGTGTTCCTGCTTCTTCTGTTCCTCAGCCGGCAGCGGCGCACTGCGGATGCGGTGTGGGGGGAGGGGTTCGTCAGGGTAAGGGGGTTACACCTGATGCTAAACGGCGATCCATTCTTCGCCAACGGGTTCAACGCCTACTGGCTCATGGCCGTGGCGGCGGAGCCGTCGCAGAGGGGCAAGGTCTCTTCCGCCTTCAGGCAGGCCTCCCGCCATGGCCTCGCCATAGCCAGGACTTGGGCCTTCAGCGACGGCGGCAGCGGAAACACCAGCGCTCTCCAGATCTCCCCCGGTGTCTACGACGAGCGCGTGTTCCAGGTACCACGGCGAATCCCGCCGGAACATTCTCCTCCCCTCCCCTTCTTTCCTCTTCTCACTTCCTACCGGCCGCAGCAGGGTCTGGATTTCGTGATATCAGAGGCAGGCAAGTACGGGATCCGGCTCATCCTGAGCCTCACCAACAACTACGACAGCTTTGGAGGGAAGAAGCAGTACGCCAGCTGGGCCAGGAACCAGGGCCAGGCCATCTCCTCTGACGACGAGTTCTTCACCAATGCCCTCGTCAAGCATTTTTACAAGAACAACGCCAAGGCATCAATAATTCCTCTCTCTCTTTCTCTCTCTCTCTCTCTCTCTCCCTCCGCCTCTCGCTAACAGTAGAGTGATTTTGTAGGCTGTGATCACGAGGGTGAACAAGTTCACCGGAGTGGCGTACAGGGACGATCCCACGATCTTCGCCTGGGAGCTGATGAACGAACCCAGATGCCCGTCCGACCCGTCTGGGAAGACCGTGCAGGTTAGAAAGCCCCTCCCCGATCTTGCCGCCCCTCGGTTCATTATCTTTTTAGGGAGGGTTATTGGGTTAATTTTCGCGGTGGCCGCAACAGGACTGGATCGCGGAGATGGCGGCGTACGTGAAGTCGGTCGACGGGAATCACCTCCTGGAAGCCGGGCTGGAAGGGTTCTACGGCCAATCGGCGCCCGCGGAGAAGCAGTTCGTCGCTGACCACAACGTCGGCACGGACTTCATCGCCAACAACCAGATCAAGGGCATCGACTTCGCCACCGTCCACTCGTACCCCGATCAATGGTCAGTCGCCCCCCTGTGAGCTCGCACGATCCTCGCTCTGAGTGACTGATCCGATCACCCCATCGCGGGTGGGCTCCGTTTCTGAGCTCTGCTCGTTCTTGCGAAGGCTGCCGGCGGCGGACGAGGAGGCCCAGCTGGGGTTCCTGAACAGATGGCTGGACGCGCACCTGGAGGACGCGCGGGAGGTCCTGCGGAAGCCGCTGCTCGTGGCAGAGTTCGGCAAGTCCAGTAGGAGCCCCGGCTTCACCCCCGCGCAGAGGGAGGCCCTCTTCGGCGCCGTCTTCTCCAAGATCTACTGGTCCGCTAGGGCCGGCGGCGGCGGGCCCGCAACGGGGGGGCTCTTCTGGCAGCTCCTGGCGGAGGGCATGGAGTCCTACGGCGACGGGTACGAGGTCGTCCTCGAGGAGCTCCGTTGGACGACCTCCAACCTCATAGCACAGAACTGCCGCAAGCTGAGGCATCTCGGGAAGCTCATCGCCCGCCTCCGCGACATAGGCAGGCTTGAGCTGATCCCGGTCGTCAGATCCCCCCACCGGCTCTCTTCCTCGAGGGACGCCAAAAACTGACGAGAGAGAGAGAGAGAGAGAGACGTTGGATCGATCTAGCTAGTTATTCTTTATTCGTTTTTCGTTGGACCCCCTCTCCGTGTAAAAGGGCATGTCTAAAAAGACCTCTCCATACGTATAAAGCATAGGGCAGGTGTGAAACCTTATTGTGCCATATGATAGAATCTCAATGTCGCATGATCAAGTGCTGGAATGCATGGATCTTGTGCATCGGGCGCAATGTAGCATGATACGAAAGTACGCTGCTACGCATGAAAAGGCACTCGCATCACATGCGTACGAAGTAGAGGAGGCTTGTTCATAGGTACACAACTCAGGCAGATGACACCATGTGAGACTTTACGTGGGTAAATCATACCCGTTTGCGTAGACATGCCAATATATCAGCATAGAGTACAAGAGCCTTGCTCACAAATATTCATGACTTGGTCAAATGATTGTACTAGAATCGAGAGATGCTAAGAGTGTTAGTTTAACTTAAGGCATACAAGCTCCAAGAAGGGAGTGAATTAAACCTTTCTATAATTCATCTTTCACAAGTTAAAGAAGAGTAATATAGATTCACATAAAAATTTATGGTCATTTTAATAATATTAGCTACTCTATTCTCCAAGGACAAAGTCCTTATGTTCTATTAATTTATAACTGAAACATGTTGAATCAACATCTTTAGTAAGCCTCCATAGCAGATAGAAGCCTCATTGAGCCTATGGCTCTAGGGATGAACTAGTGAGTATCCAAACCATACTAAGCCTAACATCTTGATCCAAACCAATAAGCAAATGTCTTAAATGTTGAAGTTTTAGTAAAGTTGAAACATTGGGAATAGATCAGTAATCTTACAAGTTCAGTCAACGACTTAAAAATATTGCATGTAAGCTAAGGAAACTTCTAATAGATGATGGAGTCTATGAAGGCTTGAACACAAATGATTTCCTTCCTTTGTGCTCAAGGATGAAGATCAAAAGTTTAGACTTCTCTATAAACCTCAAAGTCACAATAGCAGAAGCAGCACATGCTAGCATAAGGTGTCATTGACATCGTGCAATGCACTAAAATGCATTTGGAAACATAATTTTGGCATTACACATCAAAGATGTATAATTCTACTATGGATGTGAGCACACAACCAGGTGACTAGGGTGGTTATGCCAACAAACCAACACTAACCTATAACTAATTGGGTCAAGTGAGTATTGGGGAGAGTTGTATGACCTCAAGTAAGATAGAAATTTCTCTCCAATAATGTATTAACATTAGAGAGTGAGGAATATTCATTCTTGAAGTCCTAAAGTATTTTTGAACATTGGTGAGGCTACTTAATGTTAATAAAACAATGTTTAAGAAGAATATGAGTGGACAAAAGTGTTGAAGGAAGTGTTATTGTATTTTCCTTGTTGCACATTCAAAGTGACATAATAGTGGCGTGGAAGATAATAAGATCTATGCTTGAATCAACAAAACACAAATTTTAAAGATAAAATTGGTTTCTAGATCCAAAAAATTAGAACCTTTAACTCTTAAATCCACAAAGGGGTGACCTTGAATCCATAACATCAGTGAAGGACCATTGAATTCACAAGTAGATGCTTGAATCAATAGGAAGAAGGGAGAATATCTCATAATAGAAAAACTCATATTATTTCAAAAGTGTCCTCAAGTTATAGTGGGGGCCATTATATAGGCCTAAAAGGGGTAGGGGGCTCCCAAAAGGGCAATTTGACTAATCTTGTTGACAAACTCTAACCAGGTCTAAAATAGACTTTGACATACTAGGATCTTGAACATATTTTCAGGACAAACTTTGACCAGCATTTAAAGTACCTTCTAGAAGAAAATAGACATAAAGTAAGTTTAGTATCTTTCCTAAAGAATTGTTTTGTACTTTTTTGGGCCCAATTAACAATTCAACCCCCTTTGAATATTCTTTTCTTAGTTGCCTAATTTCAAAGTGGTTGGGCCCCTAGTTTCAGACTCCTCTTTAATTTTTATGTGCTAGGCTACATTAGGGAGTTTGATGCAAAATTGCATGAGAGAGAGAGAGAGAGAGAGAGAGAGAGAGAGAGAGAGAGAGAGAGAGAGAGAGAGAGAGAGAGAGAGAGAGAGAAGAATAAGAAACACACCAGATTTAAGTGGTTCTAAGAAACCTTCTATGTCTATAGTCACACAAAACAAGCTTGCATCCAAAGACCATCCTTTACAATCCTTTGGCACCAAAATATATTTGGATGTCTTGATTATATGAGATAACACTGCCTCCCTAAAGACCCACCTAGAGATATTGCTCCCTAAAGAGCCCACCCATTGTCTCCAAAGTTAGATCTGTGTACTTACTATACTTACTAAAAGCTTATTAAAACTCAACAAAGCCCAAATAAGAAATCAATCTTCATAACTCTTAAAATCTCTCACTTGAAGATTGAACTTTTCAACTAAAATCTTAATATATTTCATCTTGTGTGGTGCCTCTAATTAGCCAATTCTGAAGGCTAATTGAGGTCATATATAACATGAATTTTTCTATGATGACCATCTTCATTGACATGTATGCTGGATTCTTTAATTTACTAATCTATTGCAAGTGATTCTCATCTCAATAAGCTTTTGGCTATCTAAATCTTTCTTACCAAATTCTTATAATAGTTCTCTCTTTAGCTTGTTGATTTATGGTTATCACTATCGTCTAGGAGGAAAAGGAAAAAGCTGACCACTTGCTAGAGGCCTTGAGTGTAGATGAGGGAGGAAAGAACGAGCTTATTGATCGTGAGAGACGTTGATCATGTAAGAGGAGGGAAGAACAGATTTCGTATTTGTGACTACCGTTGAGATTTTAAAGATAATTGATAAGTCACTGTATAGTAAATCACGTAAATTTAAAATTTATAAAACTAAGAAATATGACTTTTCAAATATTTAGAAGTATTTATGAACAAATATATCAAGTATAATTTAATAAAACTTCTAAAAAAAGCAGTAATTTTCCAAGTCAATCACAAGGATGTAATATAATATCTGGTAATTATTTAGAATTTTCTATAAAGAATACTATTTTCTATAAATTTTATACTAAGAAATAAAAAAGAAATATATTTAAAATTAACGAAAAAAGAAAGTAAGGGTGCAGATGTTAGGATTGCATCAGCTTTTGACCAATGCAAATTGAGTGGAAATAGAGTTCTGCTCGACAATTATTACGTAAGTAATTATAAATGATTTAATTGATTAAATTAAGATCCGTAAAAGCCAGAAGAATTATAATTGAATGAAGTATATCTTGATAAATTCAAATCACATAAATTATCATTAAATGAAGTGGAAAATAAGTTGAAAATAGGAAAATAGAGTTCTGGCATTGCGATGGCGATGCGTTGACGATGCACCGAAATCATGAACGTTCAGGAGGATTATTATGTAATGTCCATGGCTTTGAAGACTCTCTTTGGACAAGGACGACGTTGGCAATCTCTAGATCTCCTTGTGAAATCTAGAGATTAATGAAATGGGTCATTGAATCATCTTCGGCAGTTGTCACCTAATGGAGTAGAAAAACAACGACTTTGCGACTCTTTCGCAACTGTCACTCGATGGAAAAGAACTAGATGGAGGTGAGATGCGTGTCAGGGAGCTTCATCTTCAGGTCCGCGCAGCAAGAAGAGGCTCTTCATCATATCCGATACGCTCTCAAGAAGTGGCGACTCATCTCCCGACAGATCGTCTTCTTTCTGACAATGACTTATTAGTTGATCAATCGAAGATGCTTTACTCGATAGATTTGCAATCCTTTTCTCATGAATTGTTCAGCAATTTTAGTAACAATACTTCGGGAATCACGTTGACGAGATTTTCGTCAATGATCTAGTAATTCTAGTTGCTTAATCCTTCACTGGTGATTTGTAGGAAAGTCATAATTATTAGATAAAAAATATGAGTTTTGACTCTAGGAAGATTTTAACCTACGTCGGTTGCCTGCCCTTTTTGGGGAAGGTGTGATGCAGGTTTAGTCTCACATCACTTGTGTGTCGAAGTTTTTAGTGAATATATAGTAATATTATATTTTTGATCAAGTCCCTTTTTCGCACATGTATGACCACTCCTTGCTCCACAGTCGCTGACCACCAGTGACGTGGAAGAGGAGCGGCGTACACATTCCTCTAGCGATCTTAGTCGCTCAAGCCCCTACTCACGGCTCCTCCCTAATTGTACTTCTGACCCGCTTGCAGGCCCAATTGGCTAGTAGGTCCCCCCTGTTTTGCTATATTTTTATTTTTATTTCTTTTTCTTTATTTATCTCAAAAGTAAGACTATAAAAATCATATAAATCATATAAAATCACATAATTATCCAAAAATTCATGTTAATCAACCGAATACTATCTTTTCACACTTTAACACAAATATAAGTCTATTTATCATGAGTGAAGGCTAAAACTATATTATTTAAAAATTATTAAAGATAATGAAAACTTATCAACTATTGTTGAGATTTTAAAGATAATCGATAATGTTTGTTTTACCAGATATTAATCGATTATTTTCTTTATATCTCTAACGGTGATACTTGTGAGAACTTATGTTCTTGGTATTGTGGTGCTTCACAAGCCATTAGATCAAATGAACTTTGTCACATGGTGTTTTGAGTGATGCAAGATCAACCCACTGCAAACTAGTACTGATTGGGAACTTAAGTTCTAGTACTGTGGCACCTCCATAGCCATTAGATCAGCCTTTAAGGCCACGTGTGTGCTGAGCGATGTTAGATTCTCAAACTGCCAAATGATCATTTTACGCATCTGGTATTGTGGTGGTTTGCCAGCTGTAGGATCAGGCTAATTAGATGACGTGGCTCTCTACATACTACTAGATCACATCGTGCTCTAGATGGCTACATTGAAATAAATGAAAATATTTCTGGGGCAGCTATCTAGTGATGACTTGCTAGTGGGTGGAAGAATTTTATCATTTTATTATTTTAATAATAAAAAGTTACGCTACCTATTCTAACTTCAGACTTTTAAAATTAACAATATATCCCATATTTATTCTACAAGTTAACAAAATAAAATCAAATAATAAAACTAATTAAAACATATAAATCTAGTTTTAACACCTACCACCACCATGTGCATAATAAGCACGTGTTATGGTAGGTATGTAAAAACCTTTCCTATTGTTGCAGTCACAGACATGTGCATTATATGTGTGCATATGATGACAATATATATATTAATAGAGGTCAGTGCGTCAAAAAGACTTCATTATGAATTACATGTAGATTGTACAAATTCCAAGATGTCATATTTAAAACTCTTTTAGCATGAACTCTCACTAATGTAAAAGGTGGATCACGAAGTTGAACTCATGCTTAGTATGTGTGCAATGGCATGCCTCAAGAAACTACAATCACAAGTGAAAAATACCTATTGTGTCAACACAAAAGAGCTATTTAACTAATTGTAAGGGGTAGATAATTTTTAGTAGGTACTTGAGTGGGCCACCATTGTGTTGAAATTAAGGAAGGTGAACTAATGATAACATGTGTGACTTTTTATGGTTCACACAAGTTCATATTGATGATGTTTAGTCTTTACAAACACAATGAAAACATTTTCCAATTTTTGAAATGTCATCTTTTAGGAGTAAATTGATGGTTTGTTGGTTTCTATTTGATGACATCTTGATGTATAATAATATTTTGGAAGAACATATAGGGCACCTCTATGAAGTGTTGTTGAAACTAAGGACCCACATATATTTCCTCAACCTTGAAAAGAGTAGGTTTACACTAAAAGTAGTTGACTTCCTTTATCAAGTCATAGGTTGCAAAGATGTAGATAGACTAAGAAAAGTTTCACACCATCAATGAGTGCTTAACTTAGTTGACTACTATAATTCTTCTTCCTCAACTCTACTAACTTTTATTAAAAGTGTATCTAGGGGTACATACGATTAGTATCACTACTAATTCACCTCTAGAATAAGGATAGGTGATAATATTAGATGAGTAAGTGATAGTTTGTTTTTCATGAACTTAAATAATCTTTAATAGTGAGTTAGTCCTATGGTTGTTTGATAAGTCTTCATTATCATGAGTTAATAATTAGTAAATAATATAATTTTAGTCTTAACTTATGATAAATAGACTTATATTTATGTTAAATTGTGAAAAGTTATTTTCAATTGATTAACATGAATTTTTGGCTGATTATGTGATTTTCTATGAATTTATATGATTTTTCTAGTCCTATATTTGAGATAAATAAAGAAAAAGAAATTAAAATAAAAAATATGCAAAAGAGGGGGACCTACTGATTGATTAGGTCTATAAGCAAGTCAAAAGCGTAGTCATTGGGAGCTGCGAGTAGAGACTTGAGTGGCTAGGACTGATGGAGGTAGGTGTGCACCACTCTCTTTCCACATCATTAGTGGTCAGTAGATTGTGAGACAAGGAGTGATCGTACACACGAGAAAAAGAAACTTATTACTTGCAAATATGATATCACTATATATTCGCCCAAAACGTCAGTGCACAAGTGATGTGGGTCTAAACCCGCATCACACCTTCTTTTGAAAAGCTTCAAAGATTTTAATACCTAAATTATCTTTTAGTTATAATAGAGATATATCATGATGATGTCACTTGATAAGAATATTATAATATTTATTTCAATCTCTCTCATATATATAATTAACTAACACAGGTTCAAATCCTCTTAGAGCTAAAACTCTTATTTTTATTTGATTATCGTGACTTTTTTACAAATCACTAGTGAATAATTAAGCCATCAGAATCATTAGATTATTGACGAAAATCTCGTTAACGTGATTTGCAGAACATTATTACTAAAATTACTGAATAATTCACGATAAAAAGGTCACAAATCCATTGAATAAATCATCTCTAATTAATCAACGAACATATCATCATTAGGAAGAGGGCGATCTATCGAAAGACAAGTCGCCACCTCTTGAGAGCATATTGGATGCAATGAAAGAGCCTCTTCTTACTACGCAGACTTGAGGATGAGGTTTCTTGACACATGCCCTACCTCCATTCAACTCTTCTCCATCAGGTGACAGTTGTCAAAGAGTCACAAATCACTATTTTTCTACTCTACTAAGTGATAGCTATTGGAGATGATTCGACGACCTATTTTATTGATCTTTAGACTTTGCAAGAAGATCTAAAGATTATCCATGTTATCCTTGTCTAAGAAGAGCTTTCGAGGCCGTTGACACTATATGATGATCTTCTCAAACACTTAGAATTTTTGTACATCGTTGACACATCACCGCCGTGATGCCAAAATTTATTTTTCTACTTTCAACTTAATTTTTAATTTATTTAGTGATATTTGTGTGATTTAAAATTACCAAATTATACGTCATTCAACTACAATTTTTTTGATTTTTATAAATCTTAATTTGATCAATTAAATTGTGTGTAATCAGTTACGTAAGAATCGTCGGATGAAACTCTATTTTCGTTCAATTCACATTCATCGAGTGCTGATGTCATCTTGACATCTGTACCCTTATTTCTCTTTTTTGTGAATTTTAAATATATGTTATTTTTATTGTTTAGTAGAAAATTCATAAAAACTCATATTCTTTGAGAAAAATTTCAAAAAATTACCCAATATTATATTACATTCTTGTGACTGACTTGGAAAGTTATCATTATTTTTGGAAGTTTTATTAAATTATAATTGATATATTTATTTAGAAATACTTTTAAATATTCAAAAATTAATATTTTCTAATTTTATAAATTTTAAATTTATGTGATTTACTATACAACGACTAAGTCACGTCACTACCTAACTACTATGAAACATTGGCTGCAAAAAAACTTGATACTTCAAATTTAGTCACGTTGACATTTTGATGTAAAAAGTGCTCTAGTGGTATGTTTGAACTAGAACTTCAACATGATAAAACATCATTACTCTATACACCACTATTTTCTACATTATTTTTTTGTAATATGTATGAACAATGTAATAATCATTTGTTTTTAGACTTAGGTAATACTCATATCAAAATAAGTACATTGGCAAGACTTTTGATAGAGTATAAATTTGACTTCATGAACAAGTTAACATGTCTCAATGTGGTGGCTAATGTCCTAAGTTGCAAGTAGCATGAGACAACCTTTGCAACTCTATTGATGGACAACATTGTTCGTTGACCTATGATGTTGTCTATTATGAATGACAGTTGAGGGCATGGCACAAATGCTTTATATAGGGGACAAAGTCCTCCAATTTGGTGCCTAAGTGGTCAACCACTACCTATATGTGTTGTGTGGACGAGTTAAGCTGATGCATATTGTAAGAGACATAAGATGCACAATGTAGTAAACACCGAAGATATTAACATTATTATCAAGTAGTATGGACCAAGATATGAAGACTTATCTCTAGCCACACTCAAGCGGCTATGTGAAGCCACGAGTAATAACATCGTGAAGCCACTAGACATAGAGGAATATCTCCGACATTACGTTGAAGCTAAGGGAACTAAGTCCACACTAGCCACTTGGGTCCATTTATCTGACCAAGAATCATACAAAGTTGGTTCAGGCCCACGGTGATGCCATCTTCTTTGCGGCCTCATGGTTAACGATTTCCCCACTTTTTGGCCGTGGTATTTTCTAAACTTTCTTACCATATAAGGGAACTTGGGAATATACAACGCGTTCATCGCTTGTTTTTTGTTCCGACACGCCACACACCGAGTCAAGGGGACGATCATCACCCCGCCGCCGCTCCCCGGTGACGGGATACACGGAGGGGCGATGAGGAGGAATCGGGAGACCGCCCTCGCCGCCGAGGTCCCATCCGCCGCTGAGCTCATATAACGGTGCCGTCCTTGATGGTCGAGTTCTTCAGCAGGACGACGATCCCGGACCTGACGTAGAACCCTTCGCTCGGCCGGTCGGACTCTCGCACACCCTGCAAGAGAACGGAACGGCGGACGTCAGGAATGGCGGCAAGTGAGGCCGGCAGATTCCTCTCTCTCTCTCTGCCTGGGGCCGCACTTACGTCTGTGTTGGCGATGACGACGTCCCTCCCAATCCTGACATTCTTGTCGACGATGCAGTTCCTGGAGGAGGGAGGGAGAAAAGACGCCCACGAGAACAAGGTCAAGGAGGGGGAGGCGCGAGGCCTCACTAGAACTCCATGGCCGCCAGCGATTAATGAGGACGAGGGTTTGAAGCCTTACTGGATTCTGGTGTGCCGCCCAATTCCAATGGGGACCTTCCCTTCCGCTAAGAGGGCAGCCCTCTCCGCCTCGGTCTGATAGTTGTCCGCACCCATCACTATGGCGTCCTGCGATGTCAGGGGAAGAGACAGACCCCCAGGGTTAATCATCAGCTGAGAAGATCTCTCTCTCTCTCTCTCTCTCTCTAGATTGGCCCGATCGTAGTGGATGGTTGGAGCACCTTAAGCTGGACACCGTACTCCAGGCGAGAGCGGTCGCCCACGATGGAATGCTGGATGCTGCAGTGCTCCAGGAAGCACCCGTGGGAGACGATGGAGTCCACAATCTGCATGATTTGGGTTCATTATGGCGGGTTAGACAGAGACGGAGATAGATAGATAGATAGATAGAGAGGGCAGACACCGAACCTTGCATTTGTCCATCTTGGTGGGTGGGAGGTACCGAGGCGATGTGTAGAAGGGGGTCCGAGGGTCGTAAAATTGGAATCTCGCGGACTGCAGAAGTAAAATAAATCAGAAAGCTAGACAGAGAGAAGATCAAGCTTGGTTGAGGGCGGGAGGACCAACCTGCTCTGCAAGAGCTAAATTCGCATCAAAGAAGGACCTGATCGTTCCAATATCCTCCCAGTAATCATGGAACATGTAAGCCTGCCAAGGAGAACACGGTAATTTCGATTCTCAACCACCCAAAAGCCGAGAATCTCCTTACTGTCATGCCATCATCTCGTCCAAGCACTGATCCCCTCTTACCTGAACATTGTACTCGTTAACAGCGGAAGGAATGATTTCTGAGCCGAAATCGTTTGATGTCGGGTACCTCCATCTGCATTGGAACTGAGCTTAGGAAGATCTTCCAAAGCAGGAGCCAGAAAAAAAAAACAAAATTCATGACTTGCCTCAAGAGCTTCAGAAGAATGTCCAATCGGAAGGCATAGACACCCATTGATGCAATGTAGGAGGCGTCCTCAGCTTCGTGAGGAGGGAGCCCAAAGATGGTGGTGTCGACTTTCTGGAGTTCATCAACAATGAAACTCATCAGCTTATCAGAAACACGGAGCAGAGACGATGAGAAGAACCAAGGGGCAAAGCCACAGACCATGGCCTCCAGTTCAGCGCCCTTTGGTTTCTCAGAGAACCGGATGACTCGACCAAATTTATCGATCTTCATCAATCCGAAATCAGATGCACGGCTGTACAGATAGAGGAGAGAGAAAGAGGGAGACAAGTGAAAACACGAGTTATAATCTAGGTATTCTCGGATAGCTTATAACTGGGGCCTTATAAACAAGGACGGAGAATTAATTGGCGTGAGTGACACTTCCTATTTCAAGCAGATGAACAATAGAAAAGATTTCTCTTCATGTGAACATCAAAGATCAGAAAAAAACTCAGAATGAATTCACGACCCTTTTGCTAGAAATGAATATAGTGCTTGTGGATACCTGCTGGCCATGGGTACACTTGAAACCGTAATATCAGCCCGCGTGTCTATGTGCTTCTGCAAGCATACCACCATTCATTAGTTCATCAGGCTATAGACCTCAACAGAATCTATGAACACGGCTAATTAACCCAATTGAGTAGAAGCCCAACATGCCTGGACAAAGTCCATGTAGTTCATTCTGTATAGCTGATCTCCACATAGGATCAGCACATGCTCGATGTTCTTATTTCGGGCATCCTGCATGAAACACAGAGTGAACAGTATATCAGAAAGTAAGCCGCTGCGTTTCATCTAACCATCCATGTCATCAGCATGAAGATGACCACCAACCTCAAAGACCCAGATGAACTGCCTCACAGCATCCGCCGTTCCCTGAAACCAGTTCATCCCAGCTTTTCCAGGTGTTTGAGTGGCCGCCAGAACCTGCAAACCAAGGGAAGACATTATAATTCTCCACAGGAGATGTGTATGAAATTTTATAACGAGATCAGAACAGAATTTTGTCCGCTTGATATACCTCAACGAATCCATCCCCAAAATTGACACCATTCCCGAAGTTGTATGTACGAGCAAGATGGCGATTGAGGGACCAGGAATTGAACTGAGTCATTACATAGATCTTGTTTATCCCGCTGTTAATGCAGTTGCTCATGGGAATGTCTATAAGCCGATAGCATCCGCCGATGGGAACCTGCACTCAGAGAAGAGAATGAAACAATCCTAAAAAGACCATTAATCCAAGAACACAGTCTTGATGATCATGAGCAGGTATCGATTTATTTATTTTCCACTGCTAATCTAGAAACGGAGAACTTAGAGGAACAGGGCAGCTGCTCATGATCATAATAAAGATAATAATATTAACATGAAATGAACGGGGTAGTAATTTATAGCAATCATCGCTTGGCCATTGGCTAGCCCAGGAACGCGCAAGACGCAGATAAAATAGCTACTGATATGCTGGCCAGTTCAAGCTTCCCGTCCAGAGGCCTCATCCGTAAGCCGAAGAAGAACCGAACTCCAGGGGTTGAATAGAAATCTTCAGAGGAAGTAAGCTTATCCCGACTAATCATCAATCAGTTCTCAGACAACCCTAGGAGCCATGTCTGGTTTAGACGTTCAACTTGAACCAAGATCAAAGAACGAAAGCAGTCCACCCTTTCTACTTACAGCGGGCTCAGCTCTTCTGCTGGTGAGCGGAAACAGTTTAGTCCCTGCGCCTCCTCCGAGGATGATCGCGGCCACATTCTTCGCGTTCGCCCGATCCTTGTCGAAAAATGGCGACTGGAAGGTCTGCAAAGCACGCTGGATCGGCCAGTCAGTAAGGAGAGAATACGAAGAGCCTTTGAACTGAAAATGCCTTGGAGCGGAACTCGCCAGGGTATCCTTGCTGATGTCTGGAGAGAGAACACTGGAGATGGCGCGAACTTTGCGCCGCCTCCCACCGGCAGCTGAAATCGGGTAGCCTGGAGAGCTCATGGGAAAGCTATCTCCCCTGAGTCCTCTACTTTCTGAGCCGCCGCTATGCACTTCACTGCCCCAGATTGATGATCTCTCCCCAAGGACGCTGCCACCCCGTCGGCAAGCCCGATTTACACTTGGAGCATTGGCAGAGAGATTCATAAGCACCCTGCCGCTATCCATGATGGGACAATCGGATTATTCCTCTTTCCGCGAGTTTTTGGTATGAACCTGAAGATTCCAGTACAAGGTATCAGCAAAGGGAACATGACAAATATATTAAGGAACAGAAGAAATAATCATTGACAGGCATGCATCTGACGACCGGGATTCACAGAGAGAACACTCCCATGTTCTCCGTCGGAACGAAGAAAATGACAGCCAGCAAGGGAATCGGAAGTATAGGGAGCTTCGCGACTCGTTCAGAGCAGTCTTGATTCCTGTTCTTTGCACAAAGAACAGAGAAGCAGGGGGAAGCGAGATGATATGAAGAGCAAGAATCAGGGGAAGAAGGAGCTCCACTGGCACAAAGGTGGATGAGCAGAAGAACTGAGGATCAGAAAGAACAGAAAAACGGAAGACGGAATCTGATGTTGTGGGATACAATCGAATGCCAGCATGTCAACAACCAGAGTCATCGCAGAGGAAGACGAGGATCACGATGAAAAGAGACGGGGGAAGATGTCCAGTCATCACAATGGCGCAGCTAGAAACGCAAGAGCACAGAACGATGGAGACACCCACGTCGGGGTGAGCGCAGAAGCCGAGGAGGTGGCTCCGATCTCCAGAACCTTCTGAGCCTACAACCCCCAGGTTTGCTCTAGAAAGGACAGGACGAAGGGAAATAGGGAGAGTGAGGTGGTAGCAGCAGCAGGGGGACCAGGGGGACCGGGAGGACGGAGAGTAATGCGGTGGGCAGCTCTCCGGCTGGTGCAGCTCTGCGGAGCAGCGTTGGTGGAGACGGACAAGTAGGCGGCGTGCCGACCGAGCAGAGGTCTCCCTGGTTGGTCGCCTTTGTCTTCACGTGACCCTGTTCACGATTTTTCTACCGTACCCCCCCCCACCCAATCCAAGATCTTTTCCACCGTCCGTTCTCTCTCTCTCTCTCTCCTTCACCATCAAAATATGTTCTAGGATCTTGCCATTGCAGTTAATTGGTTCTCCTAGAGAGAGAGTGAGAGAGAGAGCTTGATTAGTAATATTTGACGTGTATGGAAGATGGTTGGCCGACAGAACGACGACACGTGGCGAGACCCAGAGAGACACACACGGCAGACGTATTACCGTCTACGAGCCTTGTCTTCATCCTTCTCCGTCCACATGGATCCCGATGCGAGGTGGACCCATCCCGCGGGCACCTCAACAATCCCCCGGCGCCAGCTGGCTAAAAGTGGGTCCCACAGGCGCCGTCCCCATTCATTTGCGGGTCCTCAGTCCACTCCCGCCGCTGGCAGAGGCAGAGTTCAGAGGTATTCTCCACCGTCGACGGCTCGTGGCTGGGCCCCGCTTGGGAGTGGATGACCCCTGCTTTGGTCCCCATCTAAATGAATGGGGACGACACGTCACAGAGAGTGACGCGGGCTAATGGACCAGCTCCGCCTCGACCGGACTAGCGCACCGGTGGGCATCTACGGCCACTCTGGCCCGACCGCTCCATCTCTCACCATCCTCGTACCCAGCATATTTAATTTTAATAATAATAATAATAATATATTTTTCTATGGGATTATTCGGATCAGAGAGAGATGAGAGGGAGGGAGAGAGAGACATGATAATGGGGGAGGGGGGGACCCATCGCTTCATCGGGGTGGGGACGTGGACGGCGGGGAGTTCCCGACCGACCTCCGTGTTCGATTGGCCTATCTGAGGAATGGGAGAGAGAGGGAGGAAGATGGCGGCGGGAAGAAGGGTTGCATGCCCGACAAGCGCATCACGTGGGCGTCTCTTCGAGCAGCGGTCAGATTTTTTGGCTTTGTTTCCTCACTCTCTCTCGGTTGGTCGTCTGGGGTTGTTTTTGTACTCCTGGACAGCCTAGTACGAGAGAGAGAGAGAGAGAGAGAAAGTAAGATGAGGAAAAAGATAAGGGAACCTTGCTCATCATCTTCGTTCTGCTCTCTCTCTCTCTCTCTCTCTCTCTCACTCATTTCATGGTCTTCTGCAGGGCACGTCAACTCTTAGGCAAGAGTGCTGCCGTTTGGTGAGACGTTCTGTTCTTCAGTTTTTCTTCATTTTAGCGGCAAGTTTAACGGGTTAAGTGACGATAATAGTGAATGGAGATGCGAAAGTTGGAAATATATGACGATAAAATTCCAGTTAATAGACCATAAATAGACCACGTCCATAAATTTCATGAACAAAATTCTCAAAGTGTACTCTTGAGAACGCCGCCCATTACAGCACAACACCCTCTCACGTGCAGGCCAAACTCTGCAGAAATAGGCATGTGCTTGAGAAAGTCATGGAATGTCAGGTCCCTTCTTGTATCCATCCTTATGACACAATAAGGCGTCACATTCAATAGACAGCAGAAGATAGCAGAGTGCAAAAAATCGGTAAGTGGAAGAGGATGGTAATCAAATATCATTGATGATGGAGATGGAGAGACAAAGACAATGCTTGCACTAAAGACATTTGACGATGAGGCTTTTTGAGGCCTCAAATGAATGTTAGTCCCCAAATGGTCCACAAGAGGAATCAAAAGAGGGGTGGGTGCATTGTTTTTTCGTTTTTGTCTGATTTTTCTATTCAGGAAAATATCTTTGATGTAGTGGGATTTGACTTAGTGAGTCAGATGTATGTCTTGCATGTCAATTTTAAACATGGGTTTCGTTTGAGCACAACTCGTCCATTCAGCATCCGAATTGATTTGTAAGTTGCTCAACATTACAAATGTCATCTTCATGTAACCCTGTGCAAATGTGTCAAATCTTCTGTTCATATGAACATCGTCACTTGTTCCTATGTGTTAAGCTGTACATTTTGAGATCATGTTTCTTTTCAAGGTATTATTTTTGTAGATTCTTCTTCACCTACGATTTGTGTATTGAGTTAATTGAGCTAATGAAATTTATCAATTTTCCTTTTGATGCCTGATAAGTTTTCATTATCATGAGTTAATAATTAGTAAATAATATAGTTTTAACCTTAAATATAAGTAGACTTATATTTCTGTTAAATTGTGAAAAATGGTTTTCAATTGATTAACGTGATTTTTTGACTAATTATGTAATTTTCTACGAATTTATATGATTTTTACAATCCTATATTTGAGATAAATGAAGAAAAAGAAATTAAAATAAAAATATAGCAAAATGTAGGGACTCGTTGGTCAACCGGGCCCACAAGCGGGTCATAAGTGTAGTCGTGGGGAGTCGTGAGCAGGGGCTCGAGTGGCTAGGACTGATGAGAGGGACGTGTGCATCACTCTCCTTCTACGTCACTAGTGCCTAGTTGTCTATGGAGCAAGAAGTGGTTGTACATGCGGGAGAAAGGAACTCATTACTCCCAAATATGATATTACTATATATTCATCTAAAACTTCGACGCACAAGTGATGTGAGATTAAACTCGCATCACACCGTCCTCCAAAAGACTTTGAAGATTTTAATATCTAAATTACCCCTTCGTTATAATAGAGATATACAATGATGATGTTACTTGATAAATACATTAGAGTACTTATTTCAATCTCTCTTATGTAGGTGGGCAACCGACATGAGTTTGAATCCTATTAAAGCCAAAACTTGTAATTTTATTTGATTATTGTGACTTTTTTATAGATCACTAGTGAAGGATTAAGTTGCCACAATTAATAGATCATTAGCGAAAATCTTGTCAACATAATTCGCAGAGTATTGTTATTAAAATTTCTAAACGATATACGATAAAAGAATCACGAATTCATCGAGTAAATCATCTTCAATTGATTGACGAACAAGTTGCCGTTAGAAAGAGGATGATCTACGGGGAGACGAGTTGTCACCTCCTAAGAGCGTACCGAATATGATAAAAAGCCTCCTCTTACTGTGCAAACCTGAGGATGAAGCTCCTTAACATGGGCTCCGCCTCTATTCAGCTCTTTTTCATCAAGTGATAGCTGTTAGAGAACCACAAAGTCATCATTTTTCCGCTCTACTAGGTGACAACTACTGAAGATGATTCGATAACTCATTTCATTGATCTCTAGACTTCACAAGGAGATCTAGAGATTGCCCACGTCATCCTTGTCCAAGGAGAGCATTCGAGGCTATGGACATTACATGACGATCTTTTCGAACACTCAAGATTTTAGTACATTGCCGACGTATCACTGTCGCGATGCCAAAACTCTATTTTTTTTTTTTTCAACTTAATTTTAATTTCATTTACTGATAATTTATGTGGTTTAAATTTACCAAGCTATATTTTATTCAATTACAATTCTTCTAGCTTTTACATATCTTAATTTGATCAATTAAATCGTTTGTAATCACTTATGTAAGAATCACTAGACAGAACTCTATTTTTGTCCGATTTACATTTGTCGGGTGCTGACATCATCATGATGTCTGCACCCTTATTTTTTTGTAAATTTTAAATATATTTTAGTTTTATTTCTTAGTATAAAATTCATAAAAAATCATATTCTTTGAAAAAAGTTCTAAAAAAATACTCGATATTATATTACATCCTTGTGATCGACCTGGAAAATTTCCATTATTTTTAGAAGTTTTATTGAATTATACTTAATATATTTATTCAAAAATACTTCTAAATATCTAAAAATTAGTATTTTCTAGTTTTATAAATTTTTAATTTACGTGATTTACTATACAACGACTGAGTCGCATCAATGCCATTGTAGTTGTTTGCATTGGTCACCTCTTGCCATGAATTTGAGTCGAAGAAGATATTAAATTTCTCTCGATCATTTTCCTACTTGTTTCTTTGGCACCAAGAACTATTTGAGTTGGGGTGCCTTCAATTCAGCCATGTACTTAACGCACATTTATACAGATTGCGCACCCTCAAGCAGCTTTTTTTTTCTGTGCCATATATAAGAGTTCATTGATACATGTCTCCTTGTTGAAACTAGACCCATGTCTCCACTTGGACATCTGAATCTCCAGATAAGCTCCCTGGTTTTCACCCCGTCACCCGCCGCATGCGGCTGTCCTCCACGAAGCCCGCGCCCTCGGCGCCGCACGAAACGAGGCGGGCGGCCTTGCAGAAGGTGGGTGTAGATGAGGGCCTTCTTCCGGTGGAGCCACACAAAGCGGTCTGGCGGTTGATGCCGATCTCCTCGACGTTCTCTATGGGGAGGGGCCCCTGGGTAGGTTGAGCTCCTCGAGGAGCTCGACGACCTTCCGGCGGAAGAGGTCGTCGCCTGTGTAGATCTCCGTGCCTGGGCGATCGGCCTCGGTGGTCTGCTGCGCCATTGGTGGAACGTCCATCAGCGATGGGGTTACAGGCGGGGCGGATCGGTGGAGCAAGCGGTGTCTGAAGGAGAAGAAGGTGCCGAGTCTGCTGGAGAAGACGATATAGGGAATCGAGAGGTGTTCATATCATCTTCTAGGGGTTAGCTCCGCCGCGGCTCTCATGATTGAGCAGATTCTCGGAGAGAGAGAGAGAGAGAGAGAGAGAGAGAGAGAGAGAGAGGGAGAGGAAGAGACATGCTAGAGACTAATCTCCCATGAAGCACTCAGCGGTTTCCGGCTCCAGACGGTGAACTCTCCTCCCCTCTTCTTTTTCCCGCTCTTTTCTTATATAAGTAATAGTATGAAACGGTTGCCCACGATACAACATAACGTGTCCCACGTTCTCCAGCTCAAGGCCGAGGGCGGGTAGGTGATCTTGGTGGGGTCCACGAATAACTCTCCCAGAGGGCCTTCATTTGGGCGAGCCACACGAAGCCGATCTGGCGGTTTATGCCCATCTCCTCGACGTTCTCACGGGGAGGCCCCCGGGGAGATGTATGTATGATTTCAAAAGGACACGAGGGAGAGGAGACAGGCGCGGAGAGAGAGACACACAGAGGGAGGAGAGAGGGGGGAGAGGGAGAGAGAGAGACAGACAGAGAGAGGGAGCGAGGAGAGGCTCCGGTTTTTCACCCCAAGAGCGGTCCGCTGATCCGCCGAACTGTCTTGGTCCGCAGCTTCGCCCGATTCAATGCCCGATTTTGCCGATCCACCGTGACCGTTGCCCGATCCGCAGGTCCACCGCAAACCATCTTAAGAGTTCCCGACGGGAGAGAGGAGGAGCGGAAGACCGAAGAAAAAGAGGGACGTGGGGCCAGGTACGTGCTCCTCGACGCTGATGTAAACCCAAAAAATCTCCGACCTCGGCCTCGGCAATCTCTATGACGGGAAGATGACCCGCATCGTCGTGCTCTGCTCAGTATGCGGTCCCGCTATCAAGAATCTAACATCGTTGTGAGCTCTCTCTCTCTCCCTCTCTCTCTCTCTCTCTCTCTCTCTCTCTCTCTCTCTCTCTCGTACACGTATTGCATATAATTAGGCATCAATATACTTGCGTTTAAAAAATGATTAGTCTGGTTCAATATTTTAAAATTTGAAGTGCAGGTTGACATTCCCTTTTTTTACATGATATGATCTAAAGGAAATTGAACTCCATGTGAAACATCATATATACTCAAGCCTGCATTTATCCTCCGAATCATCGTCATAGTTATTTCTTTTATGTTTCGATAATATTCTCTCTCTTGCTTCTTATTTGTGATAAATTCTGATTAAAATATATTTTTTTTATCTTTTCTATGTATTATACTTGTACAACATAGTGCTCATAAATAAAAGAAGAAAAGTTAAAATACTACTTGCACTTAGACCATTTTGGATAATTATGGTTAGTTACAAGGTTTGAAATAATAAAGTAATTATGAAAATGCTCCTCAAGTGCATATTAAATTTTTCATGAAATTGAATTTGCGAGATCTACACTTTATATTTCAGTAGATATCAGCTAGTAGGTATTGAGAGTCCTATTGAACATTACAGGGTGGTTGAAGTTCTAAATTCTTCAATCAAAGTAATCATAGGGAGAGGTCAAAAGCTCGCCATAAAAAGCCTATGAGAGAAAAGCTACTTGTCTATATGAAAAAAAGAAAGAAAAAGAAAAGTAGACAGAGTGAAGCTCAAAAAATCAATCTTTAGACAAGGAAAATGCTTATCCACTCTCCTCTCATAAAAAAAAGGTCTGTGAGGAGAAAGCTACCTATCTACATATGAAAGAAAGAAAGAGAGAAAAAAGGACAGAGTAAAGTTCCAAAAATCAGGTTTTAAGATAGGGAAGTGATTATCCACTCTCCTCTCGTAAAAAAAAACCATGTGAGGAAAAAGTTGTCTACATATGAAAAAAAAAAGAAGAGGCAGAGTGAAGTTCTAAAAATCAGGTTTTTAGACATGAGAAGTGTTTATTCACTCTCCTCTTGTTAGAAAAAAGCCTTAGATAGAGTGAAGCTCTAAAAATCAGGTTTCTAGATAAGTGAATTACTTATTTACTCTCCTCCCTTTAGATACCAGATTGAGTTTTATAGAATGGAGAGCGTTTTGGAGTGCTAGATCAAGTTTTTCAAATATCTATCGGGTGATATTTACTAGCTAAAAGTGTTGACTTCGCATTGATATAAAGAAGAAAATTTGAATACAATCTTGAGGAATGTTTGCACAATTGAGATATAATTTGCCCTTGATACTTACTATAAGAATTTGAGACCTGTATGAGGCAAATAGATTAAGCTATAACTTATATTACCTTTGAACATGATATTTTTAATCACTATTAGTCCGAATTTGAATTCCTATTAGTACCACTAAAAGATTAGTAATGATTCAAGTTAATGTATCATTTTACATGTTAATCTAGGTAAAATGATGATAAATGTCACATTAAGTAATGTCATGTAAAACATCAAATGAAAAGTGTCAAAATAGATTATAGAATCCACTTCATAAGTTATTGCCTAATCTGCATGTTATTTTTGAGAAATTACTGCTTGATTTTCTAACTTCTCTCCTAATCGTAGTAATAGCCTTGAAAAAAAAAATTGAGTCAGAAATTTTGATGCTGCTCTTGAGGGATGACGTCATCTGTCCTCCTCGGTTCTTCCTTTTGCAGCTTCCTTGCAGGAGCTGTGGTCAGCTGTGCGCCGGTCTTCTCCCACCGGACAGAGCCACTCTTCCAACCCATCGTCACGGGGGGTCACCAGAGGGGAGAGTGGGGTTGGGGGGGAGGGGACCTCCGCCCCACCCCGAAATCGCTGCTCCCGGGTCCACCTGAGAAAGGAAGGAGGGGTGGGAGGCGGGGGGGCTGGCTGTGGTGGGGACCTAATGGCCGTCAAAAGGTCACCGGAGGGGGGGGAGAGCACGGGGGACCCCGAGTGTTGCCTCGTCTCCCTCGTGTGTGCGCCGCGTCGGTTACGTCATGCGCCGTGTGCCTCCTGCGCATACCGCGGCAGTTACGCCCGGGCCGTGCGCCGCGGCAGTTATGCCGTGCACCGCTCGTCTCCCGAGCGTGCCGACACGAGCCGCTCCGTGCCATGTCACATCGCCTCACCCATGCCACACCATGCCGCTGCACCCACCGACACCAGCCCGTTCCGTGCCGTCTCGACCCACCTCGCTTAAGAGGGGTTGGAGGGGGAAGGGGGTTGTAGCCACCTACTCTTTTACACGGTCACAAGAGGGGAGAGAAGAGGAGTGGGGCCTACGCCCCCCTGGCGAATCACCCGAGGGGGTGGGGGCACAAAGGGAGGGAGAAATCGGGCCCAAGGAGACCCCGGCAACAGAGAGAGAAAAAGGGGAGGAGGGGGAGGGGTGGTGAGGGCAAAGTGTTGACTTGTCATGCCCGTGCACTGCGCGTCTCACGCACACCCGCTAGTCTAATAGGGGTGTACGAGGGGGGTGTGTAGAGGCCGGTGGGTACCTCCTGACTGTGGAGATGTACTAGTACTAACCATCTTCGGTGCCCATAGCGTATATGTACTAGTACTAACTATCTTCGGTGCCGGCACATCAGCGGAGTGGCCTGCGGGGGCGAACAGGAGCACGAGCAAATCTTTCGGAATCCAAGCCCATGTTTGTATTCTCCTGATGATTAGTTAGAGTTATATACATATCTAGGTTGGAACTGGCCGAGAGGCGGAACGAAGACCACCACTGTGGAGATGGCCGAGGCGATTCGATCTACTTCTGAGCACAACAACTGCGGGGCACCAACCACCGTGTCCAGCTCACAGGAGTTCTTTTCCCATGCATCGCAGAGCAGAGCCGCTGAACTCGCTCCCAGCAGCATCAGACAGATGCAAGGGCTGCTGCAGTGACCTCTTCAATGGTACGGAATTGCCGTCTTTCCTTGAGAAGCGTCTTCGCAAACTCTAGGGCCCGGCGCTCGCAATGTGCTCGTCTGCTGGTGTCGGTGATCGATTCAAGATCCTCCACATGGGCAATGCCCACTATTCTCCTGCAGGCCACAACAGATATGCGCATGAGCCGAAAGCTACACAACAACAGCCACATAACGCGACCTGCCTTGCCTGGTCACGGCAGAGGCCTTCTTCTTCCTGGGAAACTAAAGCTCTGAGTCCATCTCCACACTACCCCCACTTCGATTTTCCCACCACTATCAAATGGAACAAATAACTGAAGAATTTCCAAGCTGGAAAGATCCTCATATTTTCACAGAACAGAGAAGATGGGGCCTTTTTTTACTCAGAACAGCGCGGTAATAGCATCTCATCTGCTTTGGCCACATTAGCATGCAAACTGAGTCCGACCAATTTTCTTGGGCATTTTCCAGAACAGGTGAAACTCACTAAAACGAACATTGATACAATTCTCCATGATGATGATGATGATGATTGATCGATTAAAGGCATTTTCCATGGAAGAGTGAAAACATCAGACAGACGGACTTATGCCTGCTAGTCAAGTGAAACAGATAACAATTATGAAGTGCAAATAGGCATAATAAGTATACCACCACTCCCAATTCGTCGAGGATATCCATCAAAATAAACCCAGGGTTGGATCAACGTTGCTTCTATGTGCCTATGGCTTTGCAAAGAAAAAGATTAAGTGAGTGACGATTCGCTCCTCAAGATCCCAGATCCCTTCGAAAAGAACCCAGCTAGCTAAGTGACCTAGACGCCATCCTGCATATCAGGTATCTACTAACAACCGGGAAAGGAAAGAGGAAGAAGGGCTTGAAGTAAAGCACATTCAATTGATATTGAGGAGGAACCACGGAGCCAGATCGAGTTTAAGAAAAAGAATAACACCTTATCATTTTTGCAGCACCGAATCCGAGGCTATCATGAAATAAATCTTCCAAGTAGATGCTCTGAACCTGCTGCAGAAGTTCCGCTTTACTGTATATTGGTGAAGGGTATGCTTCACCAGAGCCATCTTTGTGCTCATTCCAATGTGAAATAAACTTCTTGTGAAAAAGATTCCATGTATCCTCAACGGTCTTTAAAATCCAATTTTTATATTGCTGCATAGAAAACGGTTCAAGTGAAATTTGTAATTCATATCAACAGTTGTACCATCTACATAATGCAAAGATGCAAGTTTCTTCTTGCATTGCTTTTATGCATAAACTGCAATCCATAATGGAGGCACCATGGATCAAAACAATGGAAGGGAACACGCTCAATCAATGGAAATGGTGCACAGCTTTCACAGTGAAAGAAAAGAAAACGAAGGACAATTCTTAAGACGAGCAAGAATATGAAACCCCCGATGTCCAAGCACCATGAACTACCTAGAAGAAACTACAGTAATGTGACTCTGATCGTAATGCTTAACATCATTGTCCTAAATATAACAAGTATCACTGCAAAGTTTAACTCAGACTCACAACAAAACAACAATCATGAAAGTAATTTATAGCACAAACAAATTTCATTACAAAGTGCATGATGATCTGTGAATATGGACAAATCCTGTTAGGCTAAGTCACCTGTCTACATCCATGGACTGGTCACATCTTCGTTTTTAAAGAGCTACATAGATGCCAAGTTGTGCTCTAAAATAATCCACAAAAAGGGACGAAGAAACACATAATTTCCATTCCAACAGGTATGATTCACCACAATCAGAGAAATTACTGTCATAATTATCATAGCTCATGCAATTATTCTAGGATTGAAGAAATGTGAATGAAATTAGGAAACAATAATAAGATGTTAGGCCCACTACCAAGCCCATTATCTGGGCAACTTACGGACATAAAGGGGAGGATAAGTTACGGGAGGGCCCAGTGGTAAACGGGGCAAGAGTTCGCAAAGGGGATGGGCAAGAGGAACCTTAGGGGTTAATGGGGGACACATTTGGAAGAATTCAGCTGGGAGAGCTGGGGTTGCTCTCGAACTCGCCCCTTAGAAACATTCTAGGGTTTCCTCTCTGGAAACCATGCCCTGTCAATCTCTTCTCCTCTATTTTAGATCGGATTTCCCCCTTCTTATTATCGAGCATTTTCTCTCAATTTCACAGATATAAGAGTACGAACATGAAGCTAGCAAGAAGACAGCCTTACTTGGCGGGGAACTGGGAAGAATGACATCATATCACACTTTGTTAGTCAACTAGACAAAGGATATTGCAGACTATAAAATACTTCCTACAATAACTAAGGTATCATGAGAAATAAATAAACAGGAAAAAATAAAAACTTGCTTAATACCTCTCGATTACTATCTTCATTAGCATGCCCATCTTGTGCAAAGAAACCCAAAATCAAATTTCCCAGGAATGCACCAATGTCAAAGCCCATTGGTCCATAAAAAGCAAACTCTGGATCTATAACCTGTGTTGAATCACTAGTCACCATGATAGAGCCTGTATGGAGATCTCCATGAATTAAGGCTTGGGCTCTCTCACAGAACCTGCCCACAAGCAAGACTAAATAAATGCGATATAATAGTTTCAAAGCACAACAAAAGCTGCAACATAGAACACATGGTGATGGATGAAACATGTATACATGGATTTCAACCCAGCAACCTCCAACTTTAGAATGTCATCCTCTCGGATGGCTTGTGCGTCCTCATCCAGATAAGGAGATGTCCAACGGTTGTGTGGAGCCACCTTGTATGGGTCTGAGAAGACAACCTGCTCAGTGAGTCTGCAGAGTTCCACATTTCCGCAAAATTCTGCCACTGAAAGTACAAACAACGTCACTGTCAACTATAAACAATTATCAAACGGGAATTAACGCCACTCTTGCTAATTAGAAAAAAATGAAAACGCGGATAATAATGTGAGAGCAATAATGGAGTTCAAATATATAAAACACATTGGAAGTACAGATAAAATGTTTCAGCGAAATTGTTTGATTAAGTCGGTTCGAGGTAGCAAAGAAGATGTTCCATTCAAGGTATCATCATAGTTATTATTCTGGAAGTTACTTCCTGCATTTTTTCAAAATATTACAGGGGCACCTGGTGCCTCTTTAAATTTTAATTTGTACTGAAAACGACTACTTAAAGATGGCGTGGGGAGAGAAGATGTTGGGTTAGGAACCTGCTTTTCTTCCTTGACAGGGGGTATCATAAATAACCATGAAAGGCATTATTACCAGGGATTTAACTGGACCGGTGGGTTAGGGATGGGCATTTTCTTCATCAAGGGCAGGGAGGGGCTACCAAGGAGCAGATGTGCAAGTGGTGATGAATACCTGGGCCACACCAGCTAAGGTGATCAACAGTCGGAGAGGGGGGGCACTGGAGGAAAGCAGAAGCAACCAGAAACGGAGAGAGGGAGGGTATAGTGCGCAAAGAAAGGAGGGAAGTTTAAACGGAACAAAGATTCTTGCTTGGGGATTGGATGGCTGCAGTGCCACAAGCTCTGAGAGGGTATAGTGTGCAATTCGTGGTGACCGGTTGAGGAATAAATTTTGGAATCTGATTTTGAAGCTCAACCCCCCATAACACTTAGCTAGGGCATTGAGAAGAAAAGTGGATTGAAAGAGAAAAATGAGAGCATAGCCCATGTCCTCCGTTATTCCTTAATGAGTAGGGGTATGAAGCTTGATTGAAACATCATGATTTCCTCCTGAGCAATTCAAACCCATTACTCCAGATTGCACTTATCTGGAAACATAAAATCGAAGTATTCTGCATTAATTTTGTAGCAATAGAAAAGAACATAGATAACTAATCTTTTCTTACGGCTTACCACGAAATGAAAAAAGAACTTAAAGAAGAGACATGTCTAGAATTAGGAAAGAAAGAGCATAACGTTTCCACCTTTATTGCTATTGTACTCCGTTCATTTTTCTACTTCTTGAATCGAGTCATAAATCACTGAGATGTCCCCCTAAATTTCCTTCTCCCAGAATATATAGTCATTTTAAGCTGCAAGATCGTCAGTAATCTTCCTTGTTAGGCCTGTAATCAAATGCTTTCTCGAATTTTCAGGGCCAAGTTTCGAAAATATGCATCGGATTACTTTTCTAAAAAAATCCCAAATAATGCCCTGTTATCAATAATAATATGTTGCTCATCATTCTAGTTGTGAAAAAGAGTTCTATCTGTATCAATACAAAGAAAACAGTCTCATATTAATTTTCTCTATTGGACTCAATTTGAATTGGCGATAATTTTCTCTATGTTCACAATCATACAATAGGGACCGTTTTCACAACTTGTCTCCATTAATTCTTTATGCATTCCCATAGGTTACCGAAAAGCACTGAGAATCTGCAAGTCAAAATGCTTCAGTATACCTCAACCTCCGCTGTCCAAATAATTCACTCTATCTCTATTTCTATCATCAAAAGATATAATGAATCTATGCTTTTAGAGCCAAAAAAATGATCTCCATCTATGCTTCTCAGCGTGAAAGAAAGGAACTGATGCGATTCTGATTCTGAGGACAAAGTAACCCAACTGATAACCCTGATTTGAAATGATGCATATTTACTCGGTTAGGTCTGACTAACTATATTGTGATTTTGTTATTCACATTTCCCACTGACTATATTTACTTTTATGGTATTCTTTTGTTCTGAATGCACTTGATGGTATCTCCCTCTTTAATATGATGCATTGCATTGTTGCGGTTCCATGCCTTTGCCATAACTCAAAGCCTTTTGCACTGAAATAGTATTGGGTCATGAGACGTAATTCCTAAGAGGGATCACCCCCCACCCACCCCCCCCAGTGTAAGAAAGAACAGAAAAAAAAATCAGCATCAATCTATTACTTATTACTACTTCAATGACATGCTTTTTAAAAACCCCGAAACAACCTATTTCTGATCAAGGACGATTCCATTCGAATTGAGTCAATGTGCTCACGTCTGTTCAAAAAATGTGATCTATTTCTCTCTACACCTGTTCCTACTGTAAAATGGAATATTTTCTTTGATATCATTGTGTTGAATCCCACCAAAATGCCTGCCCCCAACCCACCCCGCTAAAGGAAATTTCAGTTGTTGATTTAATGGAAAATAAACTACAGGAGAAAATTTTGGACTGTGGCTTTATCTTCCAGCGAACAATAAAACATTTCTCTTTTAGGTTCCTATAGTTTGTGTTTACTATCACAAGGATATGTTTTTATCCAGAAATGTTTATTGTATCAACAGAAAAACTATATGGATGCTCATGAAAAAGTTTGACGTCACAATATGTCTCATCAATATGTTATGATATTTCTGCCGACAAAGGGAAAAGGAATGATGAGCTAGAGAGAATCATATAAGCAACGTAAGATAGGGAGGAGAACTGCATCAAGATGGTAATTAAATGTACAAATGGCGCACCAAACAGACTTAAATCATAGATGGTGTCTGTTCTGCACATGGTCTGTGAGGGAATATGAAGGAATATGAAGTAATATTCCAGTGACGAATTGCAAGGAACCATTTACCTGCACGTCTGTGCTCTGTTGTAGAATGATAAAGAAGAGATGTAAAGAATAGTGTTTTCGCCATAAAATCTGACATATGCTCAGCAAGCAAGGGATATTCAATTCCAGCAATTAATCCTTTCCTAAGAATGATGTGTGGAGGCTTCAGGTAGCGCATGGCAATCAAAGACATTGTCTGATCAAAATGGTACACTTCAGGAACATGACCTGGGCAGTATCTACCCTGCTCTTTCAGTGCTAGCATCTCAAAGTATGCCCGGTCTTTTGTCATTGGCCAGGATTCACCTACACAACGGATGTAAGGTAGAGCCTGTACCAAAGACATGCAAAACAAAATTGAGGAGAATTACTCATGAAAAAGCATCCATTAAAGAACAATGGATTGCCCAAAATTTGAATAGCCAATAGTACACAAGTACTCTAACATGTACAATTAAGACAAACAAGAAGAAGAAAAATGCAGAACATCATTGCATTTAATCGAAAATCAAAATGGAATGACAGTTAAAGACAGATAACTTTTCTTTTGAGTCAGGGTATTACGATGTATTCAATAAAAAAAAAGAAAGGAAGACAAAATGTATCTAGGTTCTGAGCTCTAAAAGTCCCCATGGTAGCTCAAAATAACGCAAACTAATAATCTTATTCTAAAGGCTGTGAAGATGCAAGCATGATCTCTAGTACCCCTCTCTGAAACATCAAGTCAATACGTAACTCCTTGCTTTCACCATTGTCTCTCTCGTTGATGTACTATCAAGCCTTGCATGAGGGTTGTCTTCTAGAAAGGAAGAAATTGGGGTAGTGCTTGGAGTTCAATCAAGAAGCTGGCAACGAGTTCCTGGAAAGTAACCTCGTTGAGAATTTTCCTCCTGTCCACTCAATTCAAGCCTATGAAAATATTTGCTTCATCAACCCAATTCTGCTCTTTCCCACTCTCATGTTTTAGCACACTGAGATGATGACTAAGCCAACAATGTCACCTCACTGCAAGTTTGTTCCCCTATGGACCTCGATATGTAAAAACTTCCTTTGGACAGTGCTTTTGTGTCTTTCCAAGCGTTAAATCACCATCCTCAGCTAGGTCGCCTAGTATCAATATAGGTGCTAGTACATTCTCAACCTACATTGCACAGCTCTGACAGTGGGCATGGGATGACAAAATCAATAATCAAATTCTTCCTTGATCGGTTCTGAGGCTCATGATATTGTCATCATTCACATGCATCAATAAGAGCAGACCTCCATATAATCTGTATCATCAAATTGTCACAGGCCTGAATGGTCAACCGAAATGATGACCACTCGTTCGCACTAACTTTTCATCGTCCACACCAAGCGCCTCGAACACCACCATGTTTACTCCACCATGTTTACTCCCAAGCGCCTGATTGTACGGTAAAAAATACAAATAAAGAAGAGCAAAGAAAGGCAGTAGAAATAAACACAATAAGACGCGTGATATCAGACAGTAGGAAGCAGCGTATAGTGTCAGGTGAGGTTCAAAGATTGGCAGGAAACGAGGGAGCTAAAGCAGTGAAACAGGAAGAAGAATACGAACACGAAGGACGGGAGGGAGGACCTGCTTGATGACGACCGACCCGAAAGGGCCAACCACGATGTAGACGAAGTTGAGGTTGCCATCTCCGACCTCCATTATGCTGAGCTCCCCGATCTCCGAACCACCTCCCAGCAGTTCTCGAATCACCGGCGTCCCCCGGACGTACTCTGCCAGGGAGGCCTCATCCAGAGCCCGAAAAGACCCGTCCCGCGCCGCCGCTATAGCCGCCATAAGTCCTCTTCCTCCGCAAAAAGATGCCGCCGGAAGCCTAGGGAAAGATCGGCGGATTCTCTACTCGACTGGGAGAGGATCGGCTTCTTTTTCTGCGGTAGCGGCGAATTCCAGCCCCATGCTCGTACGCCATGACAGGCGACAAATTCATTGCACCTAGCCCATGTTTCGTCGTCGGGGACGACGGGAAGCACCATACCACTCTTTATGCGAACGAAAAATACGCCGCCAGGCCTTAGCCCTTGGTGTCAATGGGCCGGGGCTGATAGTCCTGGCCCGAGAACGAGCGAGAGGGCAAAAGAGTGGGAGTGGCCCAATGATCCTGTCCGGGCCGCCGCTACAAAGTAATTAATTACAAAATTCGGCAAAATTCGGCCAACTCCCACGTTCAGCGCATGTGGAGGGGAGGCGCCCCTAGAACGCAATTCTAAGTAAGCGATCTTACAACATCTAGGAGATTTTACTTCATGTAAATACCTACCCGCCAACAGTTAAGCAGATATCTTGCCATCTAAATACCGTGCCAACATTTTAGAGCTCCATGGGAGTGAATCAAACAATGATTACAATGCATAAATTATCAACAGTTATTACGATAAATAAATTTAAAGCATATTCCACTAAAACTACTCTCTAAGGTCAAGGGATTAAAATATTTAACTGTTTATGGGTAAAAAAATTCTCCAACCAACCCATGTTTCATTTTTATTGGCTAAACTATTAGTTTATTTCATCATCAATACTAAATGTTCAACAGGACCATCCAATTGATTTCTTTGTTCTTACCCAACAAATAGCTTACTGAGGTGTATGATAACTCTTCGACTACCTTTAATGGCACCAACCAAACAGTAGATGTTGTAAAACCAACTCAAAGAGCAAATGTATTTTATGAAGGACTCGAGAATGGCTGAAAGCTTAGAGAAATGCAAATGAATAAATTAAGTATTTTACCAAATTTTCTCCTTCTAATTTGTTATCTTATAAAATGTATATTTTTTTTTGGGCTCTAATATGCTGCAAAAATAAGATGAACACTAGTAGACAATATAAAAATAGGAACCACTTGATGCTTAATTACAATGGCTATAGTCTAGTTAAGGCTGCTTAACTAACAATGGTTATCAACAAATCCAATGGCCCTTATGTCCGCACAAGCATTACATATTGGGATGCATTTGACTTTCCATCTAGTAGTTTCTTGGCACTCAATCGCTCTTCCATCAACCTTAATGATTCTAATCCACTAAGAAGTTCAAGGTGATATCAAACCTGAACGCAAATATATTTTACAAGTTGACAAATAGCACCACCAGCTGATGCTATATAGAACCACAAACAAATCGAAGCTCACAACATGTAAAACAAAAGTACAATCAATTACTACCATACACATATGATCTAAAGGTTTGATGAATGAAATGACAGATAACAAAAAATGAAACTAATTAGAAAACAAATTCATTCAACACGTGATGAAATATGCAGGTTTGGGCAGCTGTTTGGATTAGCTATTAATATGTGTATCCACCACTGTAAATTTTTCATGTGGGGCATTTATTTGTCTTTTTACTATCGCATCACTCTTAGGTTCTAAACATGACTATTTTACTAGAATTGGAGAGAAGAGTTAAGAAAGAGAAAAGATGTACAAGTTGTAGTTTCTTATTATGTGTTTTATGACTAACATTAGTTGGTAATCAATATCATCAATATAACTATTTTCAAGATAAATTCAGGAGTGAAGGTCCAAATAGTTATAGTTGAGTAAGAAAACAATGCCCTCTATCTGTACGTATGCAATTTTAACTCCAATAATTCTCAAAAATCTCAGAGAGTGATTATGAACCATAAAAATGTATCAGTTGTGCTTTTAATGATTTCTGGAAAAGCCTTGATTCAGCATTTACCTCATGGATTTCGATAATGGACAACTAAAACATTTACTTGCTTACATCCCAAACTACCTCAAGGTGCATGCCAAATTATGGCCTCCCCTTGTAGTCAACGTTGACTCCAGCAATGCCATCCTTTTGAGTATTTAAATGGCCTGATAGTATGTAAGTCTTCCAGCAAAAAGGACACCAAATGTGATGTCTACTTCATTTTTATTGAATCAACTTTAAGAATGTCATTGAATAGTAATTAATAATGTAGAAAAACCTTACAAAAGTAAATCTCATTACCACTTGTCGTCATCATCTCCATTATTACCTGATCTTAGTCAACGTTATCCATTGTCAAGTCATTGCACCCATTTATTGCAATATTGGTGCTAATTCCCAAGAATAGTAGAGAAGGGGCCATTGTCTTACATTTAAGACCTTGCCATGAGAGACAAATATCTATTTCGGCCAGCATTATGTGGTTAGCATCCACCTAGAAGGTGTCTACAAGTTAATTGAGTCTAAGGTAAAAGCATGTGTTGTCATCAATACTCTCATCTAGAATATTAGCAACCCACTCTTCAGATTAACTGACCAAGATGACATGAATGATAAATCTAAGAAGTTATTTTTTTATGCTCATCTTTTATGACCTGATTGATTGTAACTACTGAGTTCCCAACTACCAACCTTAACTATAGGTTTATCACATCACTACTTGATAGAGGCTTAAACCCCCCTCAAGATGTTATACATAATCCTCAACCTCCAAGATTGCTCCATTGTATCCCAAGAGTCTCCCTCTTATCCTCTACATTTCATCTTAAATCAAATTCTCTAAGCTTCTCCCACTTCATTATTCCTCTATTACTATGGCTACCAAGATCTAAGTTACTACAGTAATTCTCATTTTGAATTTAATGTTCTTCGCATTTGCTTCTAGCAAACTTCTTCAATGTCTCTTCAACACTATTGAACTACTTGGCTGTGGTTCTTTGTTTGGTGACTTCAAGGTGGGGACCATCTTAATGAATGACATTTGCTGTAGTATATTTGGGTGGTCTTAGCACTGCAACATTTATCAATTACTTCTACCTTGTAGTAAACCTGAATCTACCTAGAATCACTATTGACATGGTGACATTTCTTTGATATTGAAAGCTTGTGGAAAGACAGTTCCTATCAACTTGGCCTGTCCTTGACTACTCATAGTATATGCCTACCAAGGAAATCTCTCCTAGGTAACATTCATCTGTGAAAATTGTCTAGTGTGTTTTTACTATGATATAAGTCGTTGTGTGTTTCTTCTTTCTGACTGATGTAGTCATGCATATCATGTGGCTATTAGCAAAGGGAGAAACTTTGTTAGTCTCTTTCTGATCTTTATTTACAAAAGTCATGTTGTATTTGGAATAAGTTGTTGAGTTCTAGTGAGTTCCCTCACAATTAATGTATAATTCTTCTCTAGTTGCATTCACATACCATATTCCCCAAACATCTTGTGGCAGATTGTGTTCTACACATTCTTTGTGATGTTGGGCAACTAAAGTGTTCCAATATTGACTCAAGAAAAAACCCTATGAATGGGGCTCTATTTCACTTGTCATGAGATGTGACCATGAGACATTGCCACATTGACCATCTTGGCCTCATCACCTTTCCCATGATGAAAAATAATATTTTGTGGCCATTCAAGCTCCAATTTAATAAAGTTTTGAGCTTTCAATGATTACCCTTCTCTCATCTCTCATTTCAAATCAATGTGGTTCATATGCAAGGCAACATGACCCTTCAAGCAGCATATTTTGACTAGTCTTCTTAATCACATCATTCAACAAGGCATGTTAATAAACAATATAGTGTGTGTAACACCCTTTTTGAAAGTTATCAAACAAGCATACAAAGAAAGTACGCACTTTATATGGTTCTTGATTTTGGTTTTTCTTAGGTAGCACTATAGCCTAAGAGAGGGGGTGAATTGAGAGTTTTGGTTATTCTATCACAATCATTCAATAAGAACAATCAAGAGGAGGCTATTTACTAAAACCGATGCTAGTTTTGTATGTTTTACCTATACTCTTTTAAAGTCCTTAGGTTCGACTAAGTAATGAGTGAAACATGTGAAATCTAGATTTCAACAAACATTTGCTTAGTACCTAGGCCTTAGTGAGACTGTACTTTAGATCCTATGGATCTAGGAAACAACCACTAAATATCTTGGCCTAAGGGAGATTGAGTTGAATGCTAAGTGATAAGTCTTCATTATCATGAGTTAATAATTATTAAATAATATAGTTTTAACCTTAACTCATGATAACTAGATTTATATTTGTGTTAAAGTGTGAAAAGTAGTTTTTAGTTAATTAATGTGATTTTTTGGATAATTATATAATTTTATATGAACTTATATGACTTTTACTATCTTACTTTTGAGATAAATGAAGAAAAAGAAATAGAAATAAAAATATTACAAAATGGGGAGACCTGCTGGCTAGTTGGGCCCACGAGCAAGTCGAAAGCTCAATCGAGAAGTAGCTGCAAGTAGGGGATCAAGTGGCTTAGACTGATGGGGCACATGTGCATCACCCCCCTTCCACGTCATCGATGGCCAGCCTACTGTGGGGCAAGGAGTGGTCATATACGTGTGAGGAAGGGACTTGCTTAGAGATCTAACATTATTATATATTCGCCTGAAAATTTGGCATACAACTGATCTGGGACTAAACCCACGTCACCTTCTCCAGAAAGGGCAGGCAACCAGCGTAGGTTCAAATCTTCCTAGAGCTAAAACTCATATTTTTTTATCTGATTATTATGACTTTCTTGTAGATCGCCGGTGAACGATTAAGCAACTAGAATTGTTAGATCGTCGACGAAAATCTCGTCAATGCGATTCATGGAACATTATTATTAAAATTGTTGAATGATTCACAATAAAAGGATCGCAAAATCTATCAAGTAAAGTATCTTTGATTGATCGACGAACAAACTGTCATCTGGAAGAGGACGATCCACTAAGAGACGAGTCACCACCTCTTGAGAACATACCAGATGCGATGAAGAGCCTCCTCTTACTGCACGGACCTGAGGATGAAGCTCCTTAACACATGCCTT